CAAAAACGTCAAATGCCTTTTCGAGTTGTGAAACTCAAACTACAGTAGTAATGTATTAATGGGCTGGTAAAGGACTCCTGTCTGAAATCCTGGAGAACCGTGGCTAGTCACCAGTGGTCTCAGTATCTGGTCCTACGGCTTGACCTGCTATAAGGCAGCTTCTTGTCTTCTTATGAAATGCATGATCCACTTTGGTGATAACATAACCTACAGCATAAGCCTGTTCAGTATCTGATGAGAGTACACTTGCCGTGTTGACCTACCACTTTGTGGCTTAGCACAGGAATTATATCATTTAATTACGCATATAGACGTGACAGACTCCTGAAACATCTATTTCTGGATCATGGTTGAAATATTTTTCCTTTTCCACTTTCTGTTTCACTTAAAAAAACCCCCAACAGATTCCCCTTTTCACAGAATTGTTCAGTCCAATGATCTGTTAAAAATGAACAGTAAATGACGACCCTTCCTTATTGGTGCAAACTTCAATGTGAAATCATCACACTTATATACTGAGTATTTTTCCATCCTCCACACTTCATTAAGTTGTATTAAATGGCTTCCATCCCCTAAGAAACTACAAGAGAAGAGGAACAGAAATTCTTGATGTTACAAATTCACACTTGTCTCTGAAACTGAGGATTAGGAAGTGGTCATTTTTACAGCTGCATACAGATCAGTGAAAGATTCAGTGGGATTCTTGTGATTTTGACAGGATATCTGAAAGACTACTTACTCCCTTATGGGTTGCTTGTAGGCTACATCAGTGTTTCCCAACCTTTTTTGGGCAAAGGCACACTTGTTTCATGAAAAAAATCTCAAGGCACACCACCATTAGAAAATGTTTAAAAAATTAACTCTGTGCCTATATTGACTACCCTATTTTTCGCCCTATAGGACGCACCGGCCCATAGGACGTACCTAGATTTTGGGGGGGAAATAAAGGGGAAAAAATTATTTCCCCCCCCCAGACGCGGGGCTGGGGCGGGAGAAGCCCGAGCTTCCCCCGACCCCAGCCCCCAGAATGGGAGCCAGAGTGGCTCCCGGAGCTTGCGGGACTGGGGGTGGGGGAAGCCCGAGCTTCCCCCGCCTCCAGCCCCCAGAAAGGGTCCGAGAGCGATGGCAAAGGTGAGCGCACCTTCGCCATCACTCCCAGAGCTTGCGGGGCTGGAGGTGGGGGAAGCCAGAGCTTCCCCCACCCCCAGCCCCCAGAAAGGGTCCGAGAGCGATGGCGAAGGTGAGCGCACCTTTGCCATTGCTCCCGGAGATTGCAGGAGCTGGGGGTGGTGGAAGCCAGAGCTTCCCCCGCCCCCAGCCCCCAGAAAGGGTCCGAGAGCGATGGCGAAGGTGAGCGCACCTTTGCCATTGCTCCCGGAGCTTGCAGGAGCTGGGGGCGGGGGAAGCCGGAGCTTCCCCCGCCCCCAGCCGCCAGAGCAGGTCAGAGAGCCATGGCGAAGGTGTGTGCACCTTCGGCATCGCTCTGGGACCTTGCGCGGGCTGGGGGCGGGGGAAGCCGGAGCTTCTCCCGTCCCCAGCCCGCAGAGCAGGTCGGAGAGCGATGGCGAAGGTGTGCGCACCTTCGCCATCGCTCTGGGACCTTGCGCGGGCTGGGGGCGGGGGAAGCCGGAGCTTCTCCCGTCCCCAGCCCGCAGAGCAGGTCGGAGAGCGATGGCGAAGGTGTGCGCACCTTCGCCATCGCTCTGGGACCTTGCGCGGGCTGGGGGCGGGGGAAGCCGGAGCTTCTCCCGTCCCCAGCCCGCAGAGCAGGTCGGAGAGCGATGGCGAAGGTGTGCGCACCTTCGCCATCGCTCTGGGACCTTGCGCGGGCTGGGGGCGGGGGAAGCCGGAGCTTCCCCCCTCCCCAGCCCCCCGAACAGGTCAGAGAGCGATGGCGATGGTGTGCGCACGTTCGCCATCGCTCTCGGGGCTTGGGAGGCTGCGGGCGGGGGAAGCTGGAGCTTTCCCCGACCCCAGCCTCCCGAACGGGTTGGAGAGCGATGGCAAAGGTGCGCGCAGCTTTGGCATCGCTCTGGGAGCTTGCGCGGGCTGGGGGCGGGGGAAGCCGGAGCTTCTCCCGTCCCCAGCCCGCAGAGCAGGTCGGAGAGCGATGGCGAAGGTGTGCGCACCTTCGCCATCGCTCTGGGACCTTGCGCGGGCTGGGGGCGGGGGAAGCCGGAGCTTCCCCCCTCCCCAGCCCCCCGAACAGGTCAGAGAGCGATGGCGATGGTGTGCGCACGTTCGCCATCGCTCTCGGGGCTTGGGAGGCTGCGGGCGGGGGAAGCTGGAGCTTTCCCCGACCCCAGCCTCCCGAACGGGTTGGAGAGCGATGGCAAAGGTGCGCGCAGCTTTGGCATCGCTCTGGGAGCTTGCGCGGCTGGGGGGATAGCTTCCTTAAGCCTGGAGAGCAAGAGGGGTCGGTGCGCACCGACCCCTCTCGCTCTCCAGGCTTCAGCGAAAGCCTGCATTCGCGGCGATGGGATGTGGGAGGGAGCTCGCTCGCCGCCCCGCGTGTGCTCGCCGCCGGCGCCCCGCCTCTCGCCGCCCGACTCGCCCGCCTCCCTCCCACGGCACACTAGGCAACGTCTCACGGCACACTAGTGTGCCGCGGAACACCGGTTGGGAAACACTGGGCTACATTAATATTCAGAGACCTGCTTTTTAGCTAAATATGTTTGGTTGGTGGGAACATGAGGCAGGGCCTTCTCTGCAGCAGTCCCTGGTTACTGATTTCATTAGCCCTATCCCTACTGGTTTTTAGGTGAGCAGTAAAAAAAATATGTATTGTAAGCCCCAAAAGTAATTTAAATATATTCTCATTATTAAATAAAAATGTCACTGCCCAGGGTAAGTGACCCTGTACATTGCAAGAAAAAGGGGGATAATTCAACATGGGAATGCCATTGAAAGCATCGTTCTCTCAGACATCTGTGGTCTTGGTTCTGACACATTGGCTCCTACCCATTGACAAAAGGGGAATACTTTTTAGTGCAACCAACTAAAATTTCACAAATTAGTGTGTGAGCTTTTTAGTTTATAGAACTCTTCTTCATACGAAAAGGGAGACAAAACACTACATGATGTAGATGCCTCAAAGTCTTCCAGTTGTAAAAGTCTTGAGGGGTGAGTGGAGATGGAAATACACCTTTGAGCTTAATTTGGGGTGGATAATTAATTTTGGTTACTCCATGTGTAGCCTCCTGCTTACAACTTCCAAGTCTTCAGCTTTCTCCCGCAGCTACTTCAGATTTGAAGAATTTCCTCCTTGAATTTCATTGGTGGGGCATTCCATTCACTTTATGCTCATTTATGTAAGAATAAGCAGATTTTGTGTGCAAATAAACTCTGTCCTGGAAACAGTGGCGTAGCGTGGGTTGTCAGCACCCGGGGCAAGGCAAGTAATTTGCGCCCCCTAACCCGTGGATTTGCGCCCCCTAACCCGTGGATTTGCGCCCCCTAACCTGTGGATTTGCCCTAACCCCAGATGTTGCGCCCGGTGCGGCCGGGCCCCCCTGCACCCCCCACACTACGCCACTGCCTGGAAACTGGTGCACTGTCACCACAGCCAGTCACAAACAAACGACTACACCCTAGGCCAACCCCAACCTCTCTCACCACCAAAGGAACACAAGCAAATAGTAAAGAGAACCCGCACAAGCGATGCTGACACAAAACCCCACACATACATTAAGTAGAATAGAAACATCGCCACCCCACCCCACCCCCACTCACCATGCCCCCCTCCACCTCTTTCGCCCTTTTCTTCCTAAGGTAACACTAATGTCTCAACAAATGAAATTGATCTGTAGAAAATGTAACTTGAAAAAAGAGACATTGCACATATTTTTGTAGACCAAGAAATTTATATTAAAAAATATGTGTGTTTTTTTTTTTAAAAAAACTGGTGCACTGTTGCTTACCACCAAGTTTTGCCAACTTGGTTCATTCCAGATCGGCATTGGAACATAATTTCTCTGGCAAATTTTGTACCTGGCAGAAATAAATGTTACACAGCAGAAATAACCCTAGCTGTATCATGTCCTCATTTGAGAATTTGAATAGACTTTGCTGCAAAACGGCCTAGAAAAATTGTCAGCCAGTGCATAGGAAGGTTCCCCCCCTGTAATTTGTAGATAAACCAGCGTGTCAGAGGAAATAGGAAACACTTATTGTGTTAGAGATAAGGCCATTAATAGCTCAGTTTGTATTTATGTCTGAACTGTCCAAGATGAGTCAGCATTTTAGCCTTTTTTAAAAAATAAATAAAGCGAAATCCTCCTGGCAGAAGTCTTTCTTTCTAAAAATCATTTCTTTGCTTTAAAAACAACATTGAAATATATTGCTTTTCTTTTTCTTGTGAAGGAATACAATCCTATCTTAGGTAAATATGCACTTATCTATATACATTCATACATACATACATACAGAGAGAGAAACTTGGCTCATGGTAAGAATTGTTTAAGCTCAGTCCTTTATCCTCCTCTTTAAATCCAGTTGGTCAAAATCAACAATTTGAAGATATGTACGCCCAATTTCTAGAAGTTGTGCAATACATCTTAGTGTGGGAACGATTTTATGTATTCATTATATCTTGTGCTGCCCTCAAATCTGATATGATGAAGACGACATAGAGCATAAGACTGATACAATGAAACACAAAATTGCATAGTATGCTGCATCGAGGTTTTTAAACTTCTGGTTTAGAAATACTTTTAAACAAAGAAACAAAGTGGCAGATAAACTCATTAAACAAATGTAAGATTTGTTCATACCAGATCAGTTTAAATGGTCCAGCAAATGAAAGCGTTCCTTGCCCACTACAACATAGTGAACTTGTTTGGGGAGCAGAAACCAAGGAACCTCTGTCAGGAAATCCCCATCCTTTCTAGATAATTGCTGCAGCCCTGATAGAAGAGAGATTGAGAGAAAGGCCTTGGAAGATTTTTGCTACATAACCTAGACAACATTGATTTTTGCTTAATTCTTATTTATTCCAACAGGAAAATATGGGATGTATAAAATCCAAACGAAAAGACAATCTGCAGGGAGATGTGAAGACTGAACCAGTACGTAAATCTGAACGAACTATTTATGTGAGGGATCCAACGTCCAATAAACAGCAAAGGCCAGTAAGTAGATTAGTTTCAGGGAAGAATTCCCAAGAGTGAGATCACAGCACGACTGGCATAATTTATTTTTTTATTTAAAACTAGGGGCTGCCTCCTTGCTCGCACCATTCGCCAGCCTCCTGCCGTTTTCCCCACATTAACCCCACAGAACTTTCCTTCCCACCCTATGCAAGCTTGCTTTCCACCTTCGCAACCTCATTTCTGAAGCCAATTCCATTCTGCAGCCCCCTATTTTCACCTTCATGCTCATGTCAATGCCTCTCCCCTTCTTTTAGGCATCTCCTGTTGCACACAAAGCACCCTCATGGTAACCTCCTATGTCTTCCTCCTCCCACATATTACATCTACATTTTGCACCATCTGCCCACTTATGAAACCACCTTTCTACATACCCTTTCATGCCCCTGCTTTCATCTTTAACCCCATTCCCATGCCTCATATGCCCTTTTTTGCAACTGCCTTTTTTCCTCTCCCCCTTCCTTTTCTCAACTCTCCCTTGTACACAAATCATGCCCCACATTTTCTCCTTTCTATCATATTCTTCAGCCAACTTTGCACACAAACACCATTCTCGCCTACACTCCCCTTTTCCTTGCCTCCTCCTCCCTCTCTTTTTTCAACTGTCCCTTGCTCATAAACCACCATGCCTCCCTTCATCCTCTCTCCTATTCTACAGCCCCCTTTGTGCACACACTCCATGATGGTATATGTTACTGTATCTGTAAGATAACGAGAATCTTAAGAACAAGCCTGTCATTAGCTTGTTCGGTTATAGAAAGTTCAGTTCAGTTGATGGATGTTTTAAATATATAGATGTTTGCTTGTTAATAAGATACATAGTCTAAATTACCGCAGTTGAATCTGAAACTTAAAGCAACACAGAGTACCAGAAGTATTATACATTGTGTACTATGGAGTATTTGATGGTTCATCACCCTTTATCTCTCTCAGATGAGGAATGGAAGAGAGAGACATTGAGTACAGTGAGAAGGGAGTAACACTGAAAGGAAAAATATCTGTTTTAAACAATGGCATAGGTGTGAACAAAGCAGAGATGGAGTTGCACTGAGGGGATGTTCTTTAAACAAACAAAGAGGTTTTAATAAAGAAGAATAGCAGAGATGGCTGCAGCACAGAAACTAACACCCAAAACTGCTTTGAGACCCTCTCCCCCTTGCTGTATGCCATAGGGAGCCAGTGTGGTCCCTTCCAGTTGTTTTGGAATTTAACTGCCATCAATCCCAGCCAGCATGATGAATGGACAGGGATGATGGGAGCTGTAACCCAGCAGCATCACTTGAGTGCCATGCTGCCTACTCCTTTTTAAAGAAAGTCGCAAACATGATTGAACAACATATCTTAAATGCTTCCAAGGCATCACTGTTTCAAAGGCACATTGTGCTTTATGAGCCCAGAGAACTTGTGTCTATAAAAGAGGCTCTGTGTCTGTCAAGAAGATTTTGTGCACACCCATAATCACATGGAGAAATACTAATACATACAAGCATGAGCGCCTGGTACATTTTTCTGAAATAGCAGGAACATTTTTTTCCTGTTGCCAGAGGCACAGGACTCTATGTGACTGGATCTATATGCATCTTGCTTCACGGTAAACTGAATCTGAGTGATGGAGTTGCAACCATAGATCCACTGACATTAACAGAGGGTTTTTCTTCCTGACAGGCCTGGAGTCAGTGCATGGTATCTTTAGGCAGCTATTGGAGCCCCACTTCCATGGCTGAACTCACTGTTGACACCTGCCCTGGTCTCTTCCTTAAAAAAATAATTAAATAAAAGTAGGTAGCTGTGTTGGTCTGATGCAGTCAAAATAAAAAAATAAAAATAAAAAATTGTCTAGTAGCACCTTATAGACCCACTAATTTATTTAAATAAAAGTGTTAGTGCTCTCCAGTGAACACTGGGCAGCTTATCTGAGGACCTTGTCCCTTTAAATTTCCCACTGTCCTCCAGAATGATGGTACATCAGGGTCATTTTTGGAAATTTAAACAGTGGTTCCCCCTGACCCAAGTGCCAGGTTCTTATTGGAGCACTACTGCAGCCCTCTGCTAGGTAAGCCCACAGCATCACTGACCTAGCAGAAGGCCCATCAGAGGTTTCTCCACCACTTTTTGTAGACTATTGGAAAATTAACTAGCAATTTTCTATCTTAAATTTATGAAGAGGGTTGTTTTAAAAGTAAAAGCAGTTTTGTGTCCTTTTGTGCAGCTGTTTTTTTTAATTAAAAAAACCCCTCTCAAGCATTTATTAAGCATCAGCATATTTTCAAAATACAGTGGTACCTTGAGTTACAAACGCCTCAGGTTACAAACTCCGCTAACCTGGAAGAGTTACCTCGAGTTGAGAACTTTGCCCCAGGATGAGAATGGAAATTGTGTGCCGGCGGCACAGCAGCAGCAAGTGGCCCCATTAGCGAAAGCACACCTCTAGTTAAGAACAGTTTCAGGTTAAGAACGGACCCCCAGAACAAATTAAGTTCGTAACTAGAGGTACCACTGTATTCAGTTTTTGTTCTATGCTTGCAATAAGTCTTTTTCAACAGTTAATGGTCTAACTGCTTCTAGGTTGCCCAAAGGCTGGTTTCAGACAATCTAGAATCATGTGAGCAGCTGTCTGCAAGGGAGTCCCATTCAGCACAGTGGAACTTGAGTCTAAGCACAGATAGGATCAGGCTGCAAGTCACCCCTTTCAAGAAGCAACTCTGGATTAGGCATATTAATAAAGCACTTGTCCCTCGATAAACATAGAGCAGTTTCCCAATTAGCTGTATTTCAGAACATGTGCTGCTTCTCCTGTAAGCTGCAAAGGTGTTGACTGCTGAAGGCGTGTAAACCGTTACACTTTGTCTTCTAAGAATCTCAGTGTAGATGCTATAAATTATATCTAAAAGCTGCCAGAGATAACAGAGTGAGTCATCATTAAAAAAATAGTATAGTTATGTTTTAAACATGTTCTAATTTTATAAGTGTGCATTTATATAAATATGATAGTGTTATAAAACAATTTTTTAAACTCTTCTTGTTGTTGTTTTTCAAGGCAACTGATGATATCCTTCTGCCAGGTCAGAGGTTTATAGAAGGTATGTTTCTAAAAGGCAGTTGGTTATTACTACAAGTTGCTGTTTTGATAGACTTGAAAAATGAGTAAGAATATCTTGCTTGAATTTCTCTATTAGCAGAGGAAAAGGAACATCAGGACCTTGTGGTAGCCTTGTATCCTTATGATGGCATTCATGAAGATGATCTGTCCTTCAAAAAAGGAGAAAAAATGAAAATTCTGGAGGAGTAAGTATCAAAATAGCCACCGCTCTGTTTGTTGCTCCTAGATCACATTTATGTGTGTGTTGCCACCTAATAACTAGCATTATGCTAGTTACTTATACATATGTACACAAGCTTTCTATTTTGAAGTTCCATGTTTGTCCCAAACCCCAAATGCCTGCCTGGATAAAAACGTCAAACTACTTATTGGGGTTAGTCTGACTAGCAGCGGAGAGTTTTGTGGCACCCTATCTTAAGACTTGTGTTAGTTTTTGCTCCAACAGACTAATATAACTGCCTCTCCAGAAAATACTAATCAAAATGCGGACAAGTTGATGCACAGCAGAATGGGCTGAACCTCCTTGTATTTCTCTGCTCTGAATCATTGGAAATTTATTTTTATAATTGCATGATCTAGAATTCAACTTGCAGCCTTCAGCAATATGGGCATGTTCTTGGAGGAGTTGATTCCAGAAATGTCTGGTGGAAAGCAACATATTTCTCCCTCCGATGAAGTCTAAGCCTTTTTGGATGGCTCTGAAGATGATCAATACCTCTTTACAAAAGATTCTTTTCTTTTTCTTAGACATGGAGAATGGTGGAGAGCCAAGTCGCTTTTGACCAAGAGAGAAGGCTTTATCCCAAGCAACTATGTCGCAAAAGTTAACACCTTAGAAACAGAAGAGTAGGTTCATATATTGTAAATACTTGATTTTCTACTTTGCGCTGTGCACTTGAGAAAGACAAAGAAGGTGTAACTTTCCCCCCATAATACTTTACAGATGGTTCTTTAAAGACATAACCAGGAAAGATGCAGAAAGGCAGCTTCTAGCACCTGGGAATGCTCCTGGGTCATTCCTTATCAGAGAGAGTGAAACATTGAAAGGTGAGCTTTCTGTATTTCATTTGAATAAAAAGGAAACTCAGCCTTCTGCCTTGATGAGCTCAAATTTTTCCAGTAAGTTCTCTTTTCTGTTTATGTATGAGTGAATTTACTAATTATCTGTCACCAAAGAATGATGATAGCATTTTCAATTTACATTTAGCTCCCCCCCCCTTACTAAAAAAATCTATTAGCCTGATAGATGTGGCTAATCACACCAAATTATTATAGAGGAACGGGCAGGCAAAGAGGGAAGATAACTGTAGACCAAGAATTTGCCTTAAGCCATGTTATTCTTTTTATATATATAATTTTTATTGGTTTTTGCACATATTTTCCAGCATATCATCCTTTTAAACATCATTTCAAAATCTTTGGCTATCACAGCCTAAGACTTCCTTCAACCTCAACTGATGGTTTTCTAAAATCCTTTCTAATTATGCATTTTGTTACTACATTTATTGCTATAAATTCAAATCTTAATACCTATTCTTAATTCTTTTCACAATAATTTATATATTACTCCTTACAAAAGTTATTTTAACCCTACAAGCGATGTCAATTGGTTACAGTTGCTTTCCAAATACGCCAAAAGCTTCTTCCATTCCTTTAGGAAAGCCTGGTCCTGCTGGTTCCAAATTTTCCCGATTAATCTTGCCATCTCAGCATAGTTCATCAATTTCTCTTGGCACTCTTCTTTAGCTGGCATTTCTTCTTGCTTCCATCTTTGGGCTAACAATATCCTTGCTGCAGTTACCGCATATAAAAACATTTTTTTATCATTCATATGAATTTCTGTAGCCACAATACCCAGTAGAAGGGCTTCTGGTTTTTTAACAAATGTATATTTCAACATTTTTTTCCAATTCATTATAAATTATTTCACTTGCAACTTCACTTCAACCAGTTTGAATCAGGCTTGTTTCATACAAATCATAGTTATGATTAACCACATTTTGTTGGATTCTGATAATACAGCAACATGAAAGCAAAACTCAGATTTGATGCGGCTAGTTCTAACTCCGATTTAACCTGTGGTTATGATTATTATTTTTCTTTTTTTGTACACAGGTAGCTACTCTCTGTCCATGAGGGACTATGACAGACAACATGGTGATGTCGTCAAGCACTACAAAATCAGAAGTCTAGACAATGGAGGATATTACATCTCTCCAAGAATTACTTTCCCCTGTATCAGTGACATGATCAAACATTACCAAAGTAAGCCAGTACCTTTACTGGACTATTATTAAAATGCAAGGTTTTTTATCAAATAATTATATAAGAAAAACTACTGCTGTATTTCAGATCACTCAAGTCAAATGCATTCTAACTTAATAGTGCAGATTGTGTAAAGGTGGACATTGATGAAAGTTCTACACAACTCTCTCACGGGTGGGAACTAAAAGTATGTCAGCTTTGATCACAGGATTTTACATCAGCCTGAAACCGAGTTGATTGTATGAGAAATATCAGCTCAGTGTAAATGGGAACACTTTGCTTCCTGAGTATAAGCAATATTTAAACACTAGTATGGACATAGTGATAAGCTGAGAAGTTATCGGCATTGTAATTATTGTGTGCCAACACGGTGGCAATCTTGTGAACATATTTGATGTGGGAAAGTAAAACCACCAGTGACATTTAAAAAGAACATGTAGCTCATGCATAGTAATGCATTATACAGAAGTTTGCTGAAAAACAACAACCACCCATGAAGCTGTTTTCATCAGCTGGGAAAACCATACTCAACCTGATTGCAGATTTTAAATACTTCAGGGCATGACTTTTAATATATGGCATTTGGGAAAATTATGATCCTTGGTTTAAAACTATGAGCCTTCACTTCATATGAGTGTATTTTCTGAGGTTAAAACAGGTGACAGCTATACTTAAGAAATTCCTTTTAATTTAGATCCCACCATTTGTCCTAAGAGTTCTGGGTGGGTTACAACAATACATATATAAGGCAAACTCATTAAAACAAAAAGAATGACACTTAATCTATGAATTCCTCGGATCTTGGCATGCTCTATATTCAGAAGCCTAAACAATATTTACTTACCCCAGTGACCAAAATAGGTTTTCATAGGACACATATCTGACTAAAATCTATCAACTGTTGATAGTTGTCAGCAATCCATGTAAGATGCAAACTGCGGCATCTACTGGTGTAGTTAAAGTTATCCTTCTGTTCATGGCAAAAGGAGGCAAATATGCATTTAAAACTGAGAATCATGAAGGGTATGCCTCCCACCAGTTGCCATATACCAGCCTTCCTCAATGTGGTGCCCTCCCAACTGCAACTCAGACCACTAGCCATGCTTTCTGTGGTTGATTGGAGTTCTAGTCCAAAACATCTGGAGGACACCAGGTTGTGGAAGGCTGCCACATACCAAAGTGAGAGAATATTTTGTCCCAGTAGCATGTATCTGTACTACTACACCATGGTGCTTCAAGGTCAGAGGGAGAAATCCAGTGCAGCAGAACTTATGGCACATGTTGTGTTGTTTACCAGCAACGAAGAAAATAGTTTTGTTCCTGTCGGGTTTTCAAAAAATTATTGCAAGCAGGATTTAAAAGAAAAACTAAATCTCTGCATGTATGTTGTCCTTTGTTCTGCACTTTGGTGTTGCTTAAGGTACAAATGTAAGGATGTTTGTCTCTTAAACAGAGCAGCCAGATGGATTATGCAGAAAGTTGGAGAAGGCATGCCTCAGTCCCAAACCACAGAAACCGTGGGATAAAGATGCCTGGGAGATTCCGCGGGACTCAATCAAATTAGTAAAAAAGCTTGGAGCTGGTCAATTTGGAGAAGTCTGGATGGGTAAGATATTTGTTCATATGGATAATTCAGATATTTAGCAACATGTGTGATGCCACAGTACTGACATGCTAGGTTGTTAACTATGTTCATGTTCAGTGATGCAACATAAGAAATGAACTAGGCTCATTCATTTGTAAAAATGCCCCATTTTGTTTGAACTCCTAGAATGGGGAAGGGCCATATGTGTGCATTCACATAAAGATTTATTCCCCTTCCCCACTCTGAGGAAATTCTGTGCTGAATTCCACTAAACTGCACGAGTCCCACTAGTGCATCAGGCTTTTCCCCCATGTGCCCCCACAGATTGGCTCTGGGAGGTGTCAGTAGAACCCCAGAACAGCACACAAGGGAAAGGGAAATAATTCCTTCTGGCAAGCAGAAATGCTTGCCCTGACAGAATGATGTAATCAAGGACCAGACCCTAAAGTTAGCTTATTTGTCAGGGGGGTGCAGGGGGCCGGCCGCACTGGGTGCAACATCTGGGGTTAGGGCAAATCCACGGGTTAGGGGGCGCAAATCCACGGGTAAGGGGGCGCAAATCCACGGGTTAGGGGGCGCAAATCACTTGCCTTGCCCCGGGTGCTGACAACCCACGCTACGCCACTGGGCAAGAGTAATACTACTTAGTGTATATATATAGTGTTGCAATCAGCATTGATTTTTCAGCTTTAGCTGGCTGTATTGGAGCCTACAAATGCTACAGAAGGTGATCCACACTGTGCCTTAGTTTGAAGTTCAGTTCCAATGTCATACTAACTCATTGCAACTTTCATCATCCCTGACTGTTGACCATGCAGACTTGAGTGATGGGAGTTGGAGTCCAACAACATTTGGTGTGCCATAATTTAGCCATTTCTGGTTTAAAATGTTGTGCATTAAATTATTGTTGTTAAATGTTTTGTGAATCCCACGCTGTGGGACAGAAAAAGTGGGATATCGTCAGATAAACTGTGGGTAGGAATAATATCCAAATGGTCAAACATGCTTTCGATTTTGCTGTAAACCAAAATGTGAATTGACCATTTGAAGAGGGCTTGCAAATAATTATTTGCAGGAACAATGGCATCTGCTGTTGCTCTTTCTCCAGGCTCCTGTCCACCATAGTGATGGGAGTGCTCAATGGACAGAAGCTGGAAGCAGAAAAGTAGCCTTTTCATCTGTTGTTCCCTAGGCACATATCCGATGTTGTGGGGACAGATAGAGTTGCACCAGGGAGTGCAGGAATAGTAACCGCATCCCTAGCTTGATTCCCATTTGACAGCATGAAGCTGGGGTCCATGTTGTACTTGGTGGATGCTGTTGGGACAGGGGCAAAATCTGTTCCCTGGCACAAGGAGTCTTGGTGCCCACTAGCATTTCACTTGAGCTGCACTGCCTGTGCTTCCTTAAGTAATGCACCTTGGTATGCTTTGGTGATCCCATCTACATGAGTTCCTCCCTTCTCTACCCACCTTATTGGTTGGCCACTTTGTTAGTGTAATAGAAAATGTGCCTTCATTTTCTGGGGATGACATCATCAGGGCATTTGCTGTTTAATGAGCCCATATGAAAACAGTTTGCCTACTGAGCTAATATGCAGGGGTTATTGAAGCACTGTCAGCTGCAGAAGAAAGAACTAATTTCAGGAAGTTATGTTCCTGCGTATGTGCTCACAAAGGGTAGAGGGGGAGTGTTTCTGGTTCAAGATGTTTCCTCTTGTTTATGTGAGCTTCTTTGACGTCTAAATTTGGCTTGGTCCTCTGTGGGTTACTTTTACGTTATGGGTAAAATTACTGCACTGTGAAGCCTGACTACATTCTTCCTTTCCCTGCTACAAGTATGAAAAGCTGATTTGCATGATGGCAGACCTTTTTTGATTGGAACTAAACTGCATGCTTTGGTAGAGTTCCAGTTGCCTTTCTCCCTGGAGGGCCCAAGAGTTCCATCAGCTCCCAAGGATTGCGTTTACTTAGCACTGCTTGTTTCAGAATGAGTTCAGGATGGCAAAGGAATGAAAAGAAATATAATTGTAAAAAACTAGGCTGTTCTCACATTACATTGCAGTGAAGTTACTGTTTTCCCCTCAGTGGATTTTCCAGCTCTTTCCCCTTAGCTGTTCACATTGGCATAGCTTCATTAGCGTTCTGTTTATTTCTGCTTGTGTATGGACCAGGGGGCACACCTTGGCTGGAGACGAACTAGAAATGGCTTCACAACTCCAGTGATGTGAGCTGGTTTGAAAAACAACGCATTGGACAGTGGTATTTTATAACAAACTACTGGATGCATATGCATTTTGGATCACATTGTGCGATCATGGATTAAAAATTCAGTTCTGGAAGCACAGTGAGTGCACAGAAAATGGGAGTGTGATAAGAGAAGGTTTATGTTTGTTTTTGTTTTGTTTTAGGAAAACATTTTAGAATAGTGGTTGTGTTTGTACATAGTACTAAACCAGCAGTGTTGTGGGGCACTTTATTATGCTTTATTTTATTTATATCCTGAGTTTCAGGATGCAGATATTTTCATGGTGGCTTATAACTCTATCGTGTTATGAGCTTCCATGGGCAAGAGCCTGCTTCGACAGACACAGGAAATGACAGGGATGGAACTGTTTGCAAGAGGAGATTAACAATGAAATTGGAGAGATGATTTCACTTGATCAACTGGAATCAACACCCCGCCCTGTCCCAATCTGTGTCTTCCGTCCTTTTAACAGCATAGGCAATATTTCAGATCCAAATTCTATCATCCACAGTATAATAGTTCATAGACCTACACTTTTTCCAGTGTAATATACACCATTAGCTTGGCATAGTTCTTGCTGTCTACCTTCAGTCTCTAATATGGCAAGATTTGTTTCTGGTCATCTGCCATAATCCTAGACCAGTGTTTCCCAAACTTGGGTCTCTAGTAGCTGTTTTTAGACTACAATTCTCATCATCCCTGACCACTGGTCTTGCTTAGCTAGGGATGATGGAAGTTGTAGTACAAAAACAGCTGGAGACCTAAGTTTGGGAAGCACTGTTTTAGACCAACCAGTTGTGCAATGTGGGTCTATTCACCATCTCTCATAGTGTGCCTGAAGCAGCAGGGGACTGAAAGGTCCTCAAAGAGCAAAAAGTGCTACAAGGCTCAAGTAAGCTAAGTAATATGCTCTAGAGAAAGGTACTGTCTAAACCTGTCTGATCAGCCAGATAATGCTAATTTTGTCATGTGTCCTCTCCATCTTACCATGTGGACAGGGAACTTTTATCCTGCTCTTTGGCTTAAAAAGTTCCCAGAGCAGCTTACAGGATCGGTCATAGGCCAGTATATGCTTTGGGGCCTACAGTCTGAAAGACATCATTTATACACAATGAGAAAGGGATGTGGAGGGAAAGGGGGGGGGGAACAAGTTCATGCACCAGTTCCTAAAGTTACAGTTTTAGAATGACCAGCTGAGAAGGAAGCCTGATGGAATGGCTCCTGCCAGGTGACAGTTGAAGCAGCTGATCTCTCAGCAGGGGTGATGACATGGCCCTGCTTCTCTAAAAATGAAAATGCCCAGGAGAATAAAAACGTCTTTGGTGCACAGATGACATCAGATTAAGTGATAGGCAAGGCTCCCTTGGGGAAGAATCCCACTTGAAAAGGAGATACATGTTTTTGCAGGTACACGGTGGGCACTCATTGGGGAAACAGCCAACTGAGGCCTCCTGACACATGTCAACTCATATTATGTCCACCATGAAAACATTGGGATTTGAAGTCCTCTTCTTTGTAGCAGCTTATTCTTCTGCAGTGTCAATCATCACAGAATATTAAGCTTGCAGGAAGTTGGCAACCATCTAGTTTATATTGGTTAACGACTGTGAAAATATTTCTCCCACTTCTGCCATGGTCTGCATTCTTCATTGACAGGATTAAATCTCAAAGTTTAATTCTTGCCATCAAAATGTATTTGTGTATTTATTTTTTTACAAAATATTATTGAAGTAAATGTGCGGTGGGGGAAATGGAAAATGAGGTCATGTGTGTCAGGCTGTTCTGTACATACAGTATTCAGCCTTCTTCAACCTGGTGCTCAGTGGCTGGTGGGACTTGTAGTCCAAAACATCTGGAAGGCACCAGGTTGGCAAAGACTGAATTACAGTTTTATAGGCCAATACAGTCGTACCTTGGATCCAGAACGGCTTGTGAGTCGAACATTTTGGCTCCCAAACATCGCAAACCTGTAAGTGAGTGTTCCGGTTTGTGAACGTTCTTTGGAAGCTGAATGTCTGACGCGGCTTCTGCTTGAGTGCAGATAATAATAATAATAATAATAATAATAATAATAATAATAATAATAATTTATTTATACCCCGCCCATCTGGCTGAGTTTCCCCAGCCACTCTGGACGGCTTCCAACAAAATAGTAAAATACAATAGTCTAGTAAACATTAAAAACTTCCCTAAACAGGGCTATCTTCAGATGTCTTCTAAAAGTCTGGTAGTTGTTTTTCTCTTTGACATCTGGTGGGAGGGCATTCCACAGGGCGGGTGCCACTACTGAGAAGGCCCTCTGCCTGGTTCCCTGTAACTTGGCTTCTTGCAGTGAGGGAACTGTGAGAAGGCCCTCGGTGCTGGACCTCAGTGTCCGGGCAGAACAATGGAGGTGGAGACGCTCCTTCAGGTATACTGGGCCGAGGCGGTTTAGGGCTTTAAAGGTCAGCACCAACACTTTGAATTGTGCTCGGAAACATACTGGGAGCCAATGTAGGTCTTTCAAGGTACGACTGTAGTAGTATTTGTTGGTGCCTGCTTGTAAATACATCATTTATAAATTTATTGTTAAAGATCTCTCATGGCAAGACATTTGACCACCACATTCAGCGCTCTGGATGTCTCTTCTCCTATAACTATCCCTTTTGTTCTAGGTTACTACAATAACAATACCAAAGTAGCAGTGAAAACTCTGAAGCCAGGCACCATGTCTGCGCAGGCATTCATGGAAGAAGCCAACCTTATGAAATCACTTCAGCATGACAGGCTGGTCAGACTCTACGCTGTAGTTACCAAAGAAGAACCAATTTATATCATAACTGAATTCATGGCAAAAGGTAGGTATTACTGAATTCATTAACCAGAAGTACCATTTGCATGTAGGAAATGGTGTATAGTACAATTGCAAGAGGCACTTGTAACTGACAATTTGATAGCCATTCGTTATGGGACTGTAGTAACTTGAGTATTGGTTAGCAGTGTCTCGTACCCTGGCCAAAAAATATTACACATTAAATTAAGTATCATAAGAGGAATAGACTTAAAGAAACAAATAGGTCAAAGTTTCATCTGTTCTGCAAATAGCCAAAGTTGTGCCCTCCAACCGTTGTTGGGTTCCAGCTCCCAGGATCTCCATCCAGCATGGCCAGGAATGATGAGGGTTGTCATCCAGAAACAGCCTTTCTTTGCACTAGAGCTCTAAGGGGCCACGGTCTCCTGAATTGCTTTCTGCCATCATCATGAGGAATTGGCGGGGTGAACCTGTTCTATGGATAATTAGAAAATCATGCAGCAGGTTACATTTGAACTTTGCAGTGGGTAGGAGTTGAAAGCTTGAGGGCGGTTCATGCCAAATTTGGGAAAGAATAGATAAGTGGCTTATTTTGAACCAATTAACATTTGTTTGTTTGTTTGTTTTTATTTCATAAAATTTATACACCACTTGATTGTAAAAAACAACAAGCACCACTACCCTCAAAGTGGTTTACAACAGAGAAAACAAGAAAAAAAATGCATACTTTAAAATGCTAAAGCAGATTAAAATTAGCTTAACCTTCTAATCACCTGGGTAGGCTTGGTTAGACAAGGATGTTTTTAAGCAGGCACTGAAAAGAATATAGTGAAGGTACCTGCTTGATGTCAACAGGCAAGGAATTCCAAAGTGTAGGCCCTGCCATGCTAAATGATTGAGTTCTTACAAATACAGAACTGGTATGTGACACCTATAGCAGTACAGTGGTACCTTGGGTTAAGAACTTAATTCATTCTAGAGGTTCGTTCTTAACCTGAGGCACGCTTTCACTAATGGGGTCTCCTGCTGCCGCTGTGCCACTGGTGCGCAATTTCCGTTCTTATCCTGGGGCAAAGTTCTTAACCTGGAGCAACCACTTCCTGGTTAGTGGAGTTTGTAACCTGAAGCGTCTGTAACCCGAGGTACCACTGTACCAATTCCTCCAATTGAAGCAACTGAGTGGGCACATGCAGGGTAAATATTTGAATGGCTGGCATTTTGACAGGTGCTGCAGAGTTCCCCCATCTTTCTAAGATTTTGTTGGGCTGAAACATAGGAGAATATTTCTCTGTTCTGCATGTTGCATTAGGTCAAAGGAAACATTGGTATGTACTGTTACTTTGGCAGAAGCGGAAGTGTCTGTAGTTTTTACTGAAAATACAGTTCCCCAACCATTTCAGCCTATGGAGAAAATTTGAAAATTCATACATGTGCTGAGTATAAGCCACTGCTGCCTAGTAATCACTTGAGAGGGAATTTGGGCCTCTATATAGCCTTTTGTTGGAATGATGCCAGGGGAAGCAGATAAGAGGTTGCCCCTCCACTGACTGGAAAGGGCTAGAACAGGTGTTGAAGAAAATTAGGAAGAGAGAGAAACAGTCATTTAAAAGTAACAACAAATTAAAGTGAAGGAGGGATGAGAAAAAGTGGCAGTTTATGAGAAGTGGATAAGTTAGGTATGGAAGAGGGGGGGGAGAAATTACAATGAGTAAAAACAGTTCTGAGGAGCTTGGTGCGGGGAGATGAAAATATAAAATAGGAAGGCCTCTCTCCTTAGAGTCTTTGGATCAACATCTTCTTCCTAAAGTGGAAAGCTGAGTCAGAATGCCTCCATACCTGATGTCTGCATTTAACTCAAGTAAACTGAACTGTGGAGCTGCTTGCTAGAAAGAAAACAGTGTGGTAAAGACTAAAAGCAATTTCCAAAGAGTGATCATAAATCAAAAGAAAACAATGTCAGTGTCAGCTGCTCATGCTGGACACTGCTTTGATAAGTCACCATTTTGTAACTGGAGGGTCTCAATAATTTGCAGCCATCTCAAGAGGGCCCTTTGAGTACAAAGTTTGGGAATGCCTAGATTAAGCAGCTAAAGACATTATAGTCTTGCATATTCCTCTCACTTTTAAGTTAGGCTCCCTGAACCCACACTCTTTCAGTTTAGCAGTGGATATACAGTAGAGGGTGGATAATGTGTCCAGCAAATAATTTAGCGGTCACAACTTTTCCAACACTTAATACACACCTAATAATTTCTGCCTCATGCAACAAACTGCACTGTGCTCCCTCAGCACAGCAACTTGTAGTGAACAGCCAGGCAGAAAATTCTAAAGGCACCACTTTCCCAGACACTTGCTGCACATGCATCTGATGAATTTTTCCTGGACACCCCCCCACACACCATGCACATTAAGCCCTATGTCAAACTGAAGGACCAATATATTTCTGTAACCTTTGAAAAGTTGCTGTGTTTTGTGAGTTCCTAGCAGGATATGGCAAGTCCTCAGCTATTTGCATTGGTAGAGTTCTCATGGCCTACGTGTTTGGCTGCTTCATTTAAAATAATAATAATGGGTGCAAAGTGAGTGCAGATTTGTCATGTGCTACTGAGATCTTTTCCACTGCACATAAGCCTGATATGTACACACTATGAATCTCTTGCCAATTTCTTAAAGCAGCTTTTAAACTAATCTCATAAAATCAATCACCCTTGGCATGGTTTTGCAGAAAGCTGAAATGTATTAGTCTTGTTAAAAGGTAAGTTTCCCCATCCATTTAAATAGAGATGATTGCTTTCAAAAATCTTATTCACTCACAAGACCCCCAGAAATATTTTTATGGCATTCACTCACATCTGAGTTTGACCTGTTTCTTACCACCTTGTCTTGCCCTTCCTTTACCACACAGGGAGCTTGCTGGATTTCCTGAAGAGTCAAGATGGTGGGAAATTACTACTTCCAAAGCTCATTGACTTCTCAGCTCAGGTAAATAATTTATTTTTATTTTTGGTACTTGGCTGGCTTGGCACTGGCTATGCTTCATTTTCACCGTTGTCTGGAAACCAGGTTTACTGAGACAGGTTTTGGATGCTGAAAGTTTGGTTTAAAGTGGATTTCTCCTGCAGATGTGGCAAGAGAAAATTGCTCTCTGAATTGCTGGGGCCCCAGGCACATTGTGTTATCCCCTACCATTTGTGGCTTAGTCAAGTCACATCTGGGTCCGTTTTGAGGAGGAAGTGGCAGGTCAACTATAGGTGGAATAATAGAATGATGTGCCTGGGTTAAACTATATAAATATAGCTACCCCAGTGCACAGCATGGGGAGATGTAACTGGCCTCATCCTGACCCTAGGTGTGTAAAGGTAGCCCTAACTGCAGTTTATGTACAATGCTACCTTTACTGTGTAAACTTTGCTTAGTTACGAAAGTGTAATTAATTGTATTTAGAGGGCTGCTGCCTGTTTGTCTCTCCAAATGTTGCCTGAGTTGCTGTGATGTCATGGAATATTCGCAAATATTCTAATTAGCAGGGGGAATTGGCAAGAGAAGAAAGAGATTATTCTTGTGCTGTCTGGAAGAAGGCTGTCATTGTGTTTAGTAAAATAAATTGCTGCTTGCTACTGCCAAGGAGAATACAATGAATGTTGCCCGAGGCAAGGTGTAGCACTGGCTTAGTACGGTGGCAGGGGTGTCTAAGAGGCTGGTGTACAACCTCTGATAAGGATTGCTCCTAACCAGGAAGAAATGGGAGTGAATGAAATTTCCAGTGACAGATACTACTTCCTGTCAATGATGGGTAGCCCCAAAGAGTGTGCAGCAAATTCAGAAGTATTGCACCTTATTCAGAAGTGACACGTTGCGAGGGATGGGCATCCACTGGCTCAAAGCATCCTGGATCGCCTTGCTGGTGCTTGGAGCTGTGTGAAGCTGTAACAGGCTCCAAAATTCCACAAACATTGGAAGACATATCACAGAGCATGAACCCACGCAGAATGGTGTTCGTAGTCCCTTCCATCAGTTTAGAGAGTGCTTCCAAGTAACTTGCACCCTTATTTTCCCCAAAGCAGTAAAAGGAGCTACAAAAGTCCCTGTAGAAACAGACCCCATGACTATGGAGTGGCTTCATCTGCACCATGCAATTAAAGCACTATTATACCACTTTAAATAGTCATGGCTTCCACCACAACATCCTGAAAACCGTAGTTTGTTAAGGGATATGAGGATTGTTAGGAACCTCCTATTCCCTTTTACAGACCTACAATTCTCAGAAAGAGGAATTGATTGTTTAAGCACTCTGGGAGTTGTAGCACCGTGAAAGGAATAGGGGTCTCCTAACAACTCCCAGCATCCTTAACAAACTACCGTTTGTCTAAAGTAGTAGAATGGTGCTTTAAATGGCTGGTGTGGGTGTGGCCAGAGACAGAAGCAGGGAAGGCAAGTCAGATGAGAGTCAGAGCAAGCACGTTGCATTCTGGTGAAGGTTGCACAATAGCTTGCTCTTGGTTTCGTCTTCCTTATTTTTGCAAATGGCTTTCATTCTCTTTAGAACAAATAGCAGCTGGTTGGAATATACTATGTTTTATTCATTGCTCATCTTCAAATCAATGGCAATGAAAAGAAAAAGTCTATGTGGAGAAGGGCCCACAGTGCTTGGGTAGATTTTAAACAAAAACATTTAAATCCTGTTAAATCAATATTTACCAGAGGGCACAACACTACAGAGCAACATGTCCTGTACCAAATATCCTTTGAACATGACCTTAATTTCCTGTTGCAAAAGTTGGCCTCAGTCTGGCTGAAAATGGTTGTAATAGTAACAGACGCCTCATATCAACATCTTTATCTATGTCACATGCCAGACTAGCAACGATTAATATCTGTCTTCAGACTGTGTTACAGTTGCTTTCTTTCTCGTGGTGATTTCTTTACTAACACTTGTATATTCCACATTTCTGTTTTAAAACACACAAGTGGCTTCACAATAACACAGTTTTGAAACAGTGTGATATAGAACTTGAGAGTTTTAGCTTCAAACACGGCCCAGACATGGTTTAAAATAGTATTTTTCCTCATGGAAATTTTCATTTCATGGAATAGATGCAGACTGTGAATAAATATTGAGCATGTCTAGTTTTAATTTTTTTAAGCTCTGATTACTAAATATAAGAAAAATAAATATGCTATATTAGATCACTCTATAGGGCACCAGGAGCATTTCCAACAGAAGCATTTTTATTTTCTCTGATGCAAGTTACCATATGCAGTTGCCCTAATCTTACAGCACTGAACATCATTGGTTCAGGAGTAGTGATAGAAGCATTCATTAGGATTGCAAGTTGTGTTTAGAAGTTCATTCTTGGGGAACATCTGGAATGCATTGCTAGCCATTAAACGTCTGGGGGTGGGGGGGGTCATATCTGGCATGGAAAGGGAATCTTAAATATATTTTTTCCTGCACTAAATTGTAAACTATGTACCTGAACTTCTTGGACATGTGGAGTAGATAAAGTATGTGACAATGAGTCAATTGGAAATTAGACCAGAACTCAGAGGTAGAGGGCATGCTTTGGGTGCAGAAGGTCCTAGGTTCAATCCCAGCATCTCCAGATAGGACTGAGAAAGAAACCCGGGGAAGGGCTTGCCAATCATGGTAGACAATACTAAATAGGCCAATACTTGGCAGTTTCATATGTTCATATCTCCCTTCCAGTGTACGTGCAAAAGAAGGCCTTCATACTCTCCCAATATGCCAGCCTTTACTGAATCAAATGGTATGGACTACAACTCCCATCAGCCCCAGGCAAAAGAAATGGCTTGTCTCTCTGGCCACTGGTGCTTGCCGGTGGAGCTGGCATCAGCATCTGACACCCTTAAGCAACTGTCAGGAACCTGGCACCTGGACCGAGCTGACCGATGATGCCTGCTTCAACCCCCCTTAACTTTTTTCTGGCCTGCTACTCTGAGCTGTGCCAGGTGGCTGGGTCTAACTGCCATTTTAATTTCCACAGTGCTTTCAATGTCACAACACTCTGGGGGCATTGTGGGAAATTAAAATGGTGGCTAATCCATTTAATGGTGGCTGTGTTTATAGCACTGCCACCAGCAAAAGGAGGGGACTTACCCAAGACTGTTTTGCTCAGGGACCCCACACAACCTTGGAATTAGCCCCGTTTGCCTGAAACCAATCCAGCCATTCAAGCAAACTTTTCCATTGTGAAGGAGCAAGTCTGCTTCACAGTTAAAATGTGATTTTGTGGACAGGGGTGGGCGGCTTCCTAAAATGGACTGGAACAGGTGCTGATGACACACCTTCTCTAATCCCTCCTCACGGGTAGCAGACCACATGCTTCCCTTGAGTTTAAGTTCCAAATTTATCTGCTCAGGGTTTGCACCTGTGTGCTGCACTCTGTTGCCTATGTCAAAGAGTCATGCTGTAACTGGGATTTTGGTTAGTTGGTTGGTGAGAAGGGAAGGGAAGCGAAGGGACCTAGAGAGGCCTTTTAAAATAACAAGAAGTCTTTGGCCATACCTTGGAAGTTCCCACTGCTGCTTCCTCTTCTCTAGACCCACCCAAGGACTGAAATTTGGTCTAAATTTGCTGCAGTCAGCTCATCTACTTGTTCATTTTCTCTCTCTCCAGGATACAATACAATAATTGTTTCCTTGCAGGGGGAGAAATATCTGCAAGGTACAAATCCTTTGCACAAGGGCCAATCTATGCTTGGTGTCAGGAAGCATGATCCTTCATTTTTCTCCTCCTGGCATTATTTGTACCAACTTTATTGAGGTTTTCAATGCTCTTCCAATCTGTAATGGGTTGTTTGTCCAATCCAGCCTTTTGTGCCCCCATTTCATCTCTTCTTCTTTTTTAAAAGTGACCTGTCTTTATAAATCCCTTCAGTCAACAGGCTTCTTATCACAGGCTATCTTATCAACAACAACAGATCCTGGGGACGGGAAATATTTGCCTCTAAGGGAGTAGCTACATCCTCTGGTTACAAGAAGCCCTACTTTCTGAGCCTTCTGCACCAGAGAGAAACTGCTGGTGCTCTTCAAGGGCTTAGCTTTTGTGCAATATTTCTCTTCACAAAAACTGTGTTCAGCACTTGTGACAGTGCGGTGGGAAGTACCACCATGGGTATTTTTCCATTGCCTGACCCACAAAAAGAGGAACAAAGCGAGTGTGCAGTTCCTTTTTTTATATAGATGCTGATCTGCATATTGCAACAGGACTGGTACCCGAGACATTTTAAAGAGTGTGCAGACATTTATGGTATCTATTAATAGTTCTGCAGTCCCTTGAACAGCCAAAACTATTTAAGCCAAATAAGTCCAACTGACTTTAAAAAGAATGAAATCTGGTTTGCGTGTGAAAACTTAAGACAAAAGTGAGTTGCTCATCAGGCTTGGTTGGGCTGCGTGTTGACAAAGTTGCTGAACAAAACTAGGAACTGATACCTTTTACATGTTGCATTGTTTTAGAAAATATAAAATAAATATATAGCTGGGAACTGAGCTGAAAACTTTTAGCTAATGCAGCCCTGAAAAAGAATGATTAGTAGCTTTTCCAGTCTGCATCTGTCCTGGTCTCTCTGGATTAGGGACTCCTATGTTTGTATCATAACAAAGAGACAGGTGGTATGTTCTGGAACCTTGTTACAAAGGGACAGAATTGGCTGCACCCTGACAGAAGTACTAGAAGTTGAGGAACAGAAGAGGGGCAACTATTACCTGAGCTGTGTTGTCTGTCTTCTGACATCTTTACCTTGCCAGGCAGAGACATTACATTACACCAAGAGTTGTCAACTGGGTGTCTCCATGCCCACCAGTGCCTTTGATGGTGCCCAGGATAGGTTTCAGTAACCATCACCTCAGAAATCCGCAATGCAATTGCGGGGAGGCATGCCTGAACCATTTTGTGTTCCTGTCTCTTCTCTTTTGGCTGTGGCCACCATTTTGTGTTATGTGACATGCACCATGGTAGCCATTTTGTGATTGGCACTCACGGCCATTTCTCAAAATTCCAAATGTTCTCACTGGCTTTAAAAACTTGGCAACCCCTGTCCTATACAGTCCTCTGCTCCTACCCTGAGGTGCGACAGAGAAAGAAGAGAGGCAACCTGCCATCAACTTGGGGTGTGAGTGAGCTGCAGGGAAGGGAGGGGAAAGGAGCTGGAAATATTATTAATAATAATAATTTCAAGCAAAGCATATTTGTAGATGGGAGCTGATTCATAAAAAGCTAAATATTTGTGCTAGCACAAGGATTAACACAACACAAGGAGTAGCACAACAGAAATTGCTCCCTTTCCCCCCGCTGTGTGCACCTCTGAACAGATTTAAGGAACCCACAAGGGGAATGTTCCATTGCACAAGAAAAAGCCTAAATGGTTAACAAACCATATGGCAAGCCTATACCAAATGCTGCCCTTGGCTGTATGTAAAGGTACTTTATGGCACTTCTGTAAATTGAAAATGAGGAAAACCTATGAATGTTGACCAACCCACTCCCCATTTCCCTCCTCTCCCCTCCATTTATAGATACAATCTATCATTGAGCAATGAATGATATTTAATGTAAGCAAAGGGGTGTTATCAGTACTCATGTGTACCCATATTTTCATTTTTTTAATACTGGAGGCTGTGCATATCATGGCTAATGTGTAAAAATGATATGTTAAAAAAGGAGTTTCCCTGACTGTTTACAAATATTATTTGTGTGCGTATAAAAGTACTTACAAAAAAGAACAGTACAAAAGTTAAAGATACTTTATTTTTTGTTGCAGATTGCAGAAGGGATGGCATATATAGAAAGAAAAAACTACATCCATCGTGATCTGAGAGCAGCTAATGTTCTCGTTTCAGAGTCTCTAATGTGCAAAATTGCTGATTTTGGACTTGCTAGAGTAATTGAAGATAATGAATATACAGCCAGGGAAGGTTTGTACCACATTATAATTTTAAGCCCTATAAGAACAATTCTGTTAATAGCCACTTGTTTCACTAGAAATATCTAAATGTCAACACACACTGTTCTATCTCTGCTGTGTGCCCCTGGGATTTCCTACCTTGCTACTTGGTTTGCACTTGCATTTTTACAGAGAGACAGAGCAGACCTCCACATTTTTCTCATGGGCTCCTGTCATAAAATCATAGAATTGGAGGAAGCCTTGTAGGCCATAGGGGCTAACCCCTTGCGTGATGCAGGAAATCCAGAGCTAGAGCATCTCAAGAAGATGGCTTTAAGACCTCCAGAACAGTGTCTGTTGCAGATGTCCATTGAGGGGCAGCCTTCAAGGCAATTAGTTCCATTGATCTTGAAACCAAGAAGGTTCTCCTAACATTAAACCAAAATCTACTCTTCGGTAACTTACACCCTCTGAGGCAGCGGAGAACAACTCTTCAGGTATTTGAAGAGTGCAAATTTGTTTTCCCCCCACCCCAGTCTTCCTTCCCAGGCTGAACACCAGTTCCTTCAACATTTTGTCAGAGTTTATTTTCCATACTATTGAAGAATCTTCATTGTCACTTCCAATTTTCCAGTCACTTTTCCCTTATGAATCACCATCTGAATCACCTTACGAATAGTTTTTAATGGTTACATGAATGAAACTAGATTTAAAACAGTGCTGTTGTTTTCCTCTCTGTAGGTGCAAAATTCCCTATCAAATGGACAGCACCAGAAGCCATTAATTTTGGCTCATTTACTATTAAGTCCGATGTGTGGTCCTTTGGAGTGCTTCTGTATGAAATAATTACTTATGGGAAAATTCCTTATCCAGGTATGTACTTTTTATTTACTACTTATTTACCTTCAGTTTATACAGGTACCAGAGTTAATAGAATAGGTGCAAACATGCAACAAGAGACATTTTGATAATTAGAAAATGTGTATTGGTTGCTGTACTTAAGAAAGTGTCTTCAAAGTACTCTGTTACAGGAGGAATGTGGGTTGAAACCATGCGAGTCCTTGCCCTCCCTGCAGCATTTTTTAAAAAATGAATTAATGAATGAATGCCTTGGCTTCATTCAATGTAAGAAACATATTCTGCAGCAACAGCAGCACGTTGTGCGATGATAGTCTTTGCTGTGTGTTTGCTGTACAGTGGTAACTTGGTTTATGAACTTAATCCGTTCCGGAAGTCCATTCTTAAACCGAAAACGTTATTAAACCGAGGCATGCTTTCCCTAATGAGGCCTCCCATCGCCGGTGTCCTTCCACTGTTCGGATTCCGTTCTTTGTTGTTGTTTAGTCATTTAGTCGTGTCCGACTCTTTGTGACCCCATGGACCAGAGCACGCCAGGCACTCCTGTCTTCCACTGCCTCCCGCAGTAAAGTTCTCAAACTGGGACACTATTTCCAAATCGTTGTAAACCGAATCATTCTTAAACCAAGGTACCACTTTATCATAACTGGAGTGGAAAGCTGAAAGCAGGCCCTGGGGTCAGAGCCGAATGTTACAGGTGATGAAACTCAGGGGATGGACTACAGATCCTTAGTACCTTTGGGGGGAAATTGTGCAGATCTCAGATAAGATTGTCTGCTGATGATGCAATGGCCCTTGCAGGTGATTACCTCTCTAGGGAAGGTCACTGAAAGGCCTAAATGCAAACGTACAGTCTGTGAGAACACAGGTGACCACTTTGGCTTTCTGCTAGGTAATCTTTGGGTCCTAGCTGCCCAGCATCCTCTTTGATACCACCCACTTTTTAACCTAGCCAACATTGGAGCTCTGGCATTGGAGGACAAGGGCATCTTGAGGTTTTGTGGCAGCCGGTATGGAGATCCAACCTAAGGTTTTCCTCTCTGACATCAGAGAGTGGGTTCTGATGTATCCTACCAGGGTGTAGTGTAGGGAGGCTTTGGATCAGCTGACATTCAGTTTACAGTACAATCAAATACATGTTTACTCAGAAGTCCCACTGCAGTACTTCATTGGAGCTGACTCCATAAATTATCTTAATTTCCTACAATTGACTTTCTCCAGTAACAAAAGCTTGACTATTCAATGAATGAATTTGATATAAGTATTAGAAATGCAGGGGTGGAGGAAGGTTTAGGATTGTTTGGGTTGGTTTTTTTTAGACTGACATAGCCAAATTTACTAGTGGAAGAAATATGTTTTTTTATTGTTTCAGGGATGAGTAATTCAGATGTCATGATAGCTCTTCAACGTGGGTATCGCATGCCACGCATGGAGGCCTGTCCAGCTGAGCTCTATGATATTATGAAAACATGCTGGAAAGATAAAGCAGAAGAGAGACCAACTTTTGAATATTTACAGAGTGTCCTTGATGACTTCTACACTGCTACAGAAGGACAATATCAGCAGCAGCCGTAACAGGAAAGAGGAGGAGCTCCTGCCTCCAAATTGGTGTGAACCTCTTAATGGGACATTGTGGTTGCGCCAGTTACTTTTATGCATTAGGATATCCTAACTGCTTGTGGATCCTGAAACTGAAGCTCAAGAAAACGTTGCAGGTGACCACTATCCAGCTTAAGGCTTTAATGTCCTCTGTTGCTGGCACTTTCTTTCTATTTTTCTTAAGTACCCAGATTCTTTTGACCCACCAGCAGATCAAAATCAAACTGGAGACAGCTGCAAATGTAATGAAGAGAAACAGCAACAACAACAGTTCATGACAGCAACCAGAACTTAGCCCCACGTGTTCCAGTCATGACATGCATCTAAAAAAAAAAAAGGTCTGTTTTAGGGCCCATCTATATGCTATAGTGATGCATGAGCTCTTGCCACCTGTTTATTTTAACTGAAAAGCTTTTGAGGCTGTGGGAGGGGAGGAGGGAGGACTGTAGAGCCATCGTTTATTTGCTCAGAATTGCATCTTTTGGAATGGCTTACCCACCTGCAGCGTAGAAAACACAGGAATGGCATCTTTCTTGAATTGGAAACTAGCTTGGAGAGACAACTTTGACGGAATTAACAGTGGCAGACGAAATGTTTAACCAGTTTGCCCACTCATCTCTTCCCTGGTCACCACTGAGGAGCTCATTCTAGCAGCCTGCTGCAATTGCTTTTTATGTGTTTTGCCTTGTAAAAGTGGATTGGATGAAGGGGCTTAAACAGTAAAAGCTGCTGTAGTTTCTATACTTATGTAAAGAGTAAGGTGGAATTGGCACAGTTGCAATGAAGTGAATGAGACATCATAATAGAGTGGTTCCCCCAACCCCCAGGAGCTCACCATGATTTTAAGCAAGAAACCGTCTTTCTGGCTCACATTACCTCCCTTCAAAGGACCTACCTGTATAATCTGAAATGCAGTACATTTATACCTGATAATCTAAAGGTATATTGCATATGGCTTTATAGTTTGTTTTCAAGTAGGAATCTGATAGGGATTAAATGAAGTGTAACCTAGAGTCATGGCAGAAACCTTTCTACCAGTGTGGCTCATAAAGCTGCCCTTTTTAAAGGCAGCACTTAATGTTTAAATTTAAAAAGCACAACTAACACAACATTCCCATTGGAAAGTACAGCCAGCTACTATTATAACCAAAGTCTATACAATTTGTTGCACATATTACGTAAGTAGGATGCGGGGGTGGGGGTGGGGAGACACTTGAAAATCAGGTTTAAGGGCACTAGTTGTATAAAGTCAGGATTGGACTGAAGTTATAAACAGGATGCGATCTCACTACTCTGTGCCTCAGCTTTCTCCAAAAGGGTTGTTTTTTTCTCTATCATGCTGAGACTTTTCCAAAATACTTATTCACAACTTGGTTACTATAGGAACATTGTGATTCTAACTATGTTCAGTTGCACAAACCAATATTTTTGTAGTACACATGATATTTACTCTTTTTAAATGAAGGAATCCAGTTGACAAACTGGCAACCAGGCTGTCAACCTGTAAATACTGTTTTCATTTTATTGTGATTTTAATAAATAAGCATTCTTGAAATTTCAAACCTGACAGATTTTGAGTATTTTCTAAGTTGTTATCCCCTGATAAGGAGACAACCACAGTATATGGCAGCAACTATATTAAGTCTATGCTTCCGTAGACAATTGTGTTTAGTTCATTCGCTGCTGCTTGTCAAATATTGGTAAACATTTTTATTAGCAAATGTATAAAATGGCTGCTTTACACATTTCCATCCGATTTCTTCATACAAGGAAAGCAATTCAATCACAGAATTCATGTAGCTTCATTCTACACATTTTTACAATGGTCCTGAAGCTGAGATAATGGATATTGTGATCTGAACATTAAGTATATTTCTTAAAACAAGGGAACTTCCAAAATATATCCTAGTACAAGAAAAACATAAGCAATGGTGTGTTTAATGTGTTCTGGCATTATTGATGCAGATAGTAGCACTATACAGCAACAAGATCATCTGAGGCCACATTTAAGCCATGCTTAACTTAACTTATTCAGCAAAGCATTTCTATTTTCAAAGTAGAAATTGCCTCCAGTGCTTTTGCCTTCTCTGATTAACCACCAATTCAGTACCTGTACTAATTCAGTAGCTGCATTAAACCCTCCCCAAGAAGGATCCAAATTACTCTCTTACTTTGCGTGTTGCTGAGGTCACTTGTGAGAGCTTGTAGAAGATGCCTCAGGTTTTTCTGAGTCTTTGTCACCGAGTGTTTTAGGAACATCTGCTAGGGTATGTTTCAGATTTGCAAAGAAGCCCTTCTTGGATTTCTGATGCTTCGAATCTGTGCTTAGGAGTTTTTTGCTTTCACGTAGCTCCTCTTGTAGAAGAGACACTGTGGCTTCAAGCTCATTGCCACGCTTAGCCCGGTTTTGAAGACCCTTGACTTCTTCCTGTTAAGCCATGGAAGGATGCATTAGAGGTAGAATGAGTCCTGGCATTTACTGATTTTAATATATCTCACTGGCATCCTCTGAAGGTGAGCAGCCAAAATGAATACGTAGTTAAACGTTTTCTAATAGGTTAGAGGCCATCTTGAAATCGCCAGTTCTCAGTCAAGACAATACCTCTGTTGCTTATCTGGTATGTACAGCAATCTACTTCAAATATAATGAAATGCATGGTAAGACCTCATATTTTCTATATTTGCTCACCAAAAGCTTGAATAGGAAGAGAGCACAAAACTGCATTTTCAAGTTAATCTTCTTATCCTGATAAATTTGAAATATAGACAGTTTCAAGTCATGCAGGAGGTTAAGACTAACAGGTATAGCAGTCATAAGCAGGAGAAATAGCTGAGAGAGAGAGAGAGAGAGAGAGAGAGAGAGAGAGAGCAGTCAAATGCAGCTTTAGTAGCCATGTGACCAACCTTATGCATCATCACTTGCTTAAGTCTATTATTTTCTTCCATTGCTTGTCTGTAGAGTTCATTGGCGTCTTGCAACATTTCATTTAATTTCTCTATTTTTAAGTTCAAGGATCTTATTTGCTGCAAAACAATCTTATTTGTTACAATTAGTGATTAAAGGGAGAGTCATGTTGGTGTAACTCTGCTGCAACCTTTGACTGACCATGATTTTGCTCTATTGTAGGGTCAAGGTTTAGGAATCCGGTAGCCCCCAACCCTGATACTGTTGGACTCCCAACTCCCATCAGCCCCATCCACTGGTCAGGAATTGTGGGAGTTATGGTCCAGCAACAACCGAAGCACCACAGGTTCCCCATCCCCACCTTACTTATTTTACCAGCCCTTAATCAAAGAGCTCTAAGAAATATTTTGATAATGAAGCAGAGAATTTGGAAGGATCAGGAAGTTACCTTGTCTCTCTCATCACATTGTCCCTGCGAAGCATCTGAAGCATTGCATTTAAGATCTGTGAAGCAAAACATGGTTAAGAATATTTGGACCACTTTTCAGGGGGGGGAAAACTTAAGCTCATGAATGCAGGTTGCTTACCTGGATCAATGTTCCCTTCTGCAGAGTCTAAATTAGGACTTTCTGAAGGCAAGGTATTGAGTTTACCAAGTTTTGCTTTCAACTCTAGTATTTTCATTTCTCTGTCCTGAGCAACAAGATGAATTATAATAGTTTTGAATCATAATAATTTACTCAAATGGTACATTTTATTGTAGTAACAGCATGTGCTTTCAAAAAAAAAGCTTAGCTGTTCTTCCCCCCCCCCACCCCCCACCCATAACTTTAAGCAACAATTTAGATAACTGTTAGCACCTATTTCTCTATCCAATATGATGAACTTTGGAAAACAAACATATATGTGTCACATCCCACCTTGGTCTAATATTTTCTGCATTCAATATATTTAGGAACCCTTTCATGTCTAAAACTTTATTGGTATATCACCAGACAATGTACTTTTGGCTGACACCTGTCAAAATATTTTGGGGGCACACAACATTTCAAAATACATAGGCACATCCAAACTCACGAGGATTAACTAACATCACTCTCTCCCACAAAAAAACCACCCAATATAACCCCTACCTTTTCAGAGCTTTCATTTAACAACTTAACGTTTTAATAGAATTCCTGCAGATGCCTTGGAAAGAATGCCAACATGTACAATGGACAAAGATAACAAGTTTTAGAGAATAAGTACCTCGACCTTTGCTTGTTCAGCAATGAACTCCTCTATTGGCACATAGTGGTTTTCAATTTGATCCATTGCACACATGTATGCATGCTTCTTTATGGCCTCCTTGTACATTTCAAATTTACTCTCCATTTTTTCTTCATACCTTTCTTTCAGATCTTCTAAGCGTTTACTGGATAGTATTAGCAATGAGAGACAGACAAAATACTTTTAATTACTAATTATCTATACTAATGATTCAATTAACAAGCCTACATAGGGGTGGGTACAAAATGCATCCGTCTCCAATCCCAGCACCCTTTCCCTAACCTGCACCTGAGGTCAGAAGATCTTTCCTCTGAGCAGTAGCACAGAGGAATTGTCAAAATATGTCTCCCATCTCATTTCTATTATATAGAAGCCCTCATTTCATTTAATGGGAAGAACTCCAGTTCCAACCCATAGCTAGAAATCACAAATTATGTCCCATGCATGTTTCCTGGAGGTTTCCTGTACAAATAAGGACTAACCTCATAGTAACTGACATCTAGGCAACCCCTCCTCCCTTTACCTCTCCCTCCTTGCCTATGCCCTCACAGGCTGCCCAAGCCTTCCCTCACAGCTATGCCACCTCCCTTTCCTTATAGCTCACCCCCTCCCACTTTAAAGGAGGGTAGGAACACTTCAGAGAGCAGTTTGCAAAATTACTCTCTGAAGTTCCTCCGGATCTCCTTTAAACAGCTTGCCTGGGCCATCTGCCTGCTGGTCTGCCATCATGCTGGAGTTGCTGTGGTCACGTGAACTGCAGCATGAAGACAGGCTTATAATTTTATTACATAGTAAGAAGTAAAATCAATTTACTACAATATACCTTACTTCCTAGTAAACGTGCACTGGATCGAACAGTGAAACACAGATTTCCATTCAGAAAGTAACTAGAAATGTGGATGCCAACCATTTTCAACAGAATTAAACCCACAATTTATTATTGTTATTATATCCTATCGCTCTAGTAGTACAGTCCCGTTGCTGTTGGCCTGATATAAACATTGAATTAAACTGAAGGGCGGCTAATAGAATTTCTTATATTGGCCATCCACTGTATTGTGCAAGACACATTTTCTTGGTTCCATACAAGTATAGTAGTACAAAATCATTTTAGCTAAGAGGACTTGAGACAGTAGCAGATGTCTCTAACACTTGGATTTTATCACAGAATATATTTAAATGGTTGCTAGAAAGCTATTACACAAATATTTGGAAAAGCAAGGCATTTTCAAACCAACTGCTTTGAAATAGTCCAGCATGCAACACAAAACAAAAGATCATGGTACATCAGTGGTCTGTCCTAGAATAAGGCATCCATAAATATGATGCCTTATTCTAGAACTGGTGATGTGCTAAGCCATGCTTGGAGTGGTGGGTGCCTGGGGCCTTTCAGTTCCTCACAGCTACAAAATCTTAAGGCTCACCTCCAGGCTTCTTCTGTTTCCATCAGTTGCTGAAACATTGCTTCAGCCATCTCCTTGCGTATTTGCACCTCAAGGAGCAGCTTGCCTTGCCTCTCTGCAATCAGCTTGCTCTTCAAGATCTCTGTCATTTTCAAGAGATCCTGCAGGAATGAAGTCAAATTAGGAACATGGAATCAAGGAGCAGAAGACAGGATGTGGTGCCTGAGCTAACATATGCCATTCATTAGAGTAGAACTGGGAGGCGATTCCCCCCCCCATCTTGTCAAGGGCTTCCCTTCCCCAACCTTGTGCTCTCCAGATGTTTTAGACTATGCCTCCAATCAGCCCCAGCCAGCAGACTTGTAGTCCAAGCATCTGGAGGGCACAAGGTTGTGGAACATTGCCCTAAGGGGTAATCAGCCAAGGGTCACATGCTGGTTGGTAGGGCTAAGAAACCCATTACACAACTGGGAAAATACTTAGTGTTTTCTTTCTGCTACTAGGGATGGAAGGAACTGTCAGTTATGGTTCTCTCAGTTTCTCATTTTTCCAATCTTAAATTTAGTTCTCCATATTTTTGCAGAAATCTGTAAAACCTTGTTTGTTTGGAGAACCGCATCAAAAAATTGAGATAAGTGGAAAAACTGAAGGACTGTGTTTTAGTTCTCATTTTGTTTCAGAAAGTGTGGATTTGATAAATTCAGCTTTAAATGCAAACTGAAAATTCTTCCCCGTCCCTAACCGCTACAGTCTGTTAAGGATTTAGGCCAGGTAACACAACTAAAAACAGTCCAAACAAAGTATTATATTGATTTAAGAATCACTCCATTGATTTTTAACACTATTAAGATGATTTAAATCCTACTGAGTAAGCATGCACCACATCGTCTGAAAACAGTTTTAAACATTACCTCATGGTTCATAATAGTTATATCTATTTCCTCTTCAGAGGAGATACAAGAATCCTCTGGAAGTTGCTCTGCAGATATGTCATCAAAGTGCACTGTAGGCCTATCGTCCCTTCCAATATATTTTTGGGAAAATAATCAAATATTTTGTGCTGGAATGTTTGAATAACCTGAAAAATAATACTGTGTCAGTGGTTTAAATTACAAATAAGAGCACAATTTCACAATAAACTGTAGTTTTGTGTTATTTGCCCTGGAAGGCCACAAAGGGAATTTTGAGAACTTTGGGAAGGACACTGCAATGATTATAATTGAGAAGCAAGGTTGAAAAGTTCAGTTGTCTAAGGAAAAAAGCTTTAAATGCATTTGTCATGGCATATCTGTTCACAGTTTACACTGCAGCTCATATACAGTGGTGCCTCACAAGACGAAAAGAATCCATTCCGCGATTCTCTTCGTCTAGCGGTTTTTTCGTCTTGCGAAGCAACCCTATTAGCAGTTTAGCGGCTATTAAAGGCTTAGCGACTTAGCTGCTAAAAGGCTATTAGCGGCTTAGCGGCTTAGAAAAAGGGGGGGGAAAGCGGGGGGGGGGAATCGCAAGACTAGCAAGACGTTTCGTCTTGCGAAGCAAGCCCATAGGGAAATTCGTCTTGCGAAGCAACTCAAAAACGGAAAACCCTTTCGTCTAGCGGGTTTTCCGTCTTGCGAGGCATTCGTCTTGCGGGGCACCACTGTACACAGATAGAAGTCAATCATATGCGTGCTTTTGCTGAAGCCTTCTAAAATGCATGTTTTCTCCATTTACACAAAGAGGAGGTAAGGTTTAGATTTAAGAGTCAGAGAGCAGTAAGGTATGCTCTTTTGGCTCTTAAATTTGGACTCTCCACCCCTCTATCCTCCTTTCTGAGTCTGAAAGCTCCAACAAATGCAAAATGCAGCAGCTAGGTGGCTGATGTGTACAGTCAGCCAACAACATAAAGCATCCCTGCTAAAATGTCTGCACTGGCTGCTCATAGGTTACTGGGCCAAGTTCTGTGTCCCTGTATTAATATGCCAAGCCCTGTACAACTCGGGTTCAGGATACCTTGAGTCATTTTATCCCAACTCGGTCTCTGGGATCATCCAGTGGAGTCCTATAGTTCCTGCCTGTCTTTTAAAAGCCTGGCCAGCTCCAACTATAAGCCAGGCATTTAGTGTCATTGGCCCCATGCTGTGGAACACACCAGCAGCAGCCATTTGGCAAGCAGCCTCCCTGCTAACTTTCAGACTCCTCTTGAAGCCAAACAGGCCCATTCAATTGTTTTAACATTTTTTCCGAGATGAGCCAATTACACTTACAATTATTTTGTGATGTTTTATGGTATATTATATTTTATTGCAGTTGTATATGCTGTTGTATACAAGCCTGGTATTTTATATGAGTGGGTGGTATGCCAATAATAATAATAACATCAACGATTTATTATTTGTACTCCGCCCACCTGGCTGGGTTTCCCCAGCCACTCTGAGCAGCTTCCAACAAAGATTAAAAAGGCATTAAAATGTCACACATTAACAACTTCCCGAAACAGGGCTGCCTTAAAACTACAAAAACACCACGCACACATATTTGCTGCTGTGAGCTGAAGACTCAGAACATCGACAGAAGACATGAGAGTCTTGATATATATCAGGCATGTTACATTTGAGGTTGTAAGACTAGCTGCTACATTTTTTTATGTTGCCGTGCATTACAGTTAGATGGCCCAAGCAAGTAAGTGTTCCTAGTAAAGAGGTCAGGATCCTACAGGCTACTTGGCATGGAGACACCTCAGCCAGGAAGCATTGACTCATAAAGAAGATAATTTCCAAACGGTTGTCTCCACCCCCATCGTTCAGCCCGGACACTGAGGTCCAGCTCCAAGGACCTTCTGGCGGTTCCCCCACTATGAGAAGTGAGCTTACAGGAAACCAGGCAGAGGGACTTCTCAGTAGTGGTGCCCACCCTGTGGAACATCCTCCCTTCAGCTGTCAAGGAAATAAAGAACTACCCGACTTTTTTTTTTTATAATAATATTTTTTATTGCATCTTTCCAAGGTCAGATACATCGTCCAAAATTCAACAAAAGCGACTTTACAAAAAAGAAGAAAAAAAATCATAAAGAAGAAAAAATTCACATTTTGCAGGCAATTTTTCATAATCCACTGGACTTCCTCGCATCCTCCACCCCCTGCATTCTTTACCATAAATAAAAAAAATAACAGCAAATTAATACCTTGTTTCATGCGTTTTTGTACTTTCATCTGTTTGTATTTTAAATTTAGGGTACTTGTTGTGTATTCACTTTTCCCTCAATCCTACCCGACTTTTAGAAAACATCTGAAAGCAGCCCTGTTTAGGGAAGTTTTTAATGTTTGATTTTTTATTGTATTTTTAATATTCTGTTGGGAGCCACCCAGAGTAGATGGGAGGGGTATAAATAATAAATTATTATAATTATTATTATTATTATTATTATTATTATTATTATTAATTATCACTAGTAGTAGTATTCACCCAGGAAAAACAAGGTAATGGTGCTTGGGGTATGTTGTGGAGGGCACAGCCTTTTACTTACTTGCTTCGCTACAGCAGAAAACTTCATTACATGCAATGTCTCATCATAGGTAGAAGCACACTGGTTAATATTGACAATCATGCAAGCTTTGCCTTTACCACAGAAGAATGGCTGGAACAGGCGGGTCAGCTTACTCTCTCTGAAGGGAATGTATGCTGGCCTTAATCTTAAGGGAAAGTTGTATTAACATTAATTTCAACATGAGTATGATTTGTAAAAAGCAAGCATGGATTCAGACATGTGTGATTGCTATCTGCCCTTTATCTGCAGAACAAGTACTTATTAGGACATAGCTGTTTTCACATTCAACAGACTGGTCCCATATTCATTCATTCATTCATTTTAATTATTGCCAACAGACTATTCCATCTACTTATCTTTTTAAAACTAAAGAGAAGAATAGTGCTATAACACTATATTGCAAAAATGCTATACAGTTGTACCTTGGTTTTTGAACAGCTTATTTCCCAAAAAGTTTTGGCTCCTGAATGTTGCAAACCTGGAAGCGACTGTTCCAGTTTGCGAACTATTTTTGGAAGCCGAACGTCCAATGGGGCTTCCGTGGCTTCTGGCTGGCTGCAGGAGCTTCCTGCAGCCAATCAGAAGCTACGATTTGGTTTTCAAACATTTTAAAAGTCGAACAGACTTCCAGAATGGATTCTGTTCAACTTCCAAGGTATGACTGTAGTATAGACTGTAGTACTATTACAGCACTATACCGCTTTCATTTAATATATAATTATAGCTATGAAAATCATTTAGCAATAACTAAAATAAAGATTAAAACAAAACAAAATGGAGTCATAAAAAAGCAAGGGTCATAGTGAATGCCTGCTGAGAAGCACTAGGCTGATTTTCCTAATATGTTTTGCCCCTGTCAAAACCCCCCAAAGACAGAAAAGGTGTGCTAACGGCATCTATACCCAGTGCTTTTTTTCTGGGGGGACGGAGGAGTACACATGCCCCTAAACATTTTGTGAATCTAAGTTTGGCCTCATTGAGGGGCAGTATTTCAATATGAGTAGGAAAATGAGAGTGCCCCTACACATTTTTAAAAGAAAAAAAGCACTGTCTGTATCTATGAAGGCTGTGTTACTTTTCCTTTCTTCTGGAAAAAAAAAACCACACAGATTTTTTGAAAACCGAAATGGCATAAGCAGCACAGAGAAAATGCAGGCTGTGAATGACTGGAGGACAACATAATGTGGCTGCCTCATAAAAAGCGTGCATACAAAAAAATGAAAAAAATAATGTTAGAATATGTTTTCAGCACTTTTACCCAATGAAACAGACACCGTGCTTCTTGGGGAACATAAATGTTGTGTAACAATAGGTTAGACTAAACAGTTTTATGTGAAACTGGTGTGAAGATTTACTTTTGTCACTTACTTAGGGTTTTGATTTTGCTTTAGAGCTGCAATGCATTTTCCAAGAATAAGAAGAGAATTATTAATATTGCCTGCTTCTTTCAGTCTGTCTCCAAAGGTTTGTGCTTTATGGCATCGTTCTGATCCAGCCAAGTCACAGAGAGAGAGTCTGTACAAAAAATGCAGCTGATTTTAATATCAATCTTTCTTTCTTTTGAAATTACATTTTATTCGCATTTTTACATACAGTTCAAAAAGATTAAGAATAAATGGAGAAAATGAAAACAAAATCAAACAAACCAAAGACACAACACAAAACATCTAAGGACTTCCTATCAATCTTTCAATCCACCAATCAATATTTGAATTTTAGGTAGCCTGGTACAACACACTCATAGTATTTTTAACAGGTACAATACACACTGTCAAGTAATAACTTTTATTATTGAACCTGTATTTTTACTGTGTTTTGGGGTAAGTGTGTTCCAATGGCCACCTTCAGCTGTTGATAAGCATGACACAAAATTATGGATTACTGTGACAGTAAGAAGCTGCACTGAACTGCCCCATCCTGTCGGGAGTAGGAGTTTCTAAGCTTTTACTGTCATTTTGTTCTGGAACAATAGACTGTGATCAACACTTACAATTAATTTGCAGCAAATCAACTTCAAACCACAGGTGATCAAATTGGCTTGGGGTTTTTTAAAAAATGAAATTCTCAGTAAAAGACATACGTATTTCATTTACAAAAACAGAACAAGTAAACATGCAATACAGATTGATAAGATATTTACAGTAAGCCTGCAACTTACACAGGGGTTACATTCTGGGGATCGTGCCTAAAGCCAAAATTGTGAATGGTCAAAATACATTGTGTTCAAAGGCAGGTGGGATTGCCAAACACATTTCCCTCCAAATCCTGTCTCGTTTCAAATAATAAATAATAATAATAATAATAAATAATAATAATAATATTTTGCCACACACATAAAGTTGAATACACACAAGTTAATTGCATGTAAGTTGTGGGTTTACTGTATATTACCATATTTTTTACTCTATAGGACGCACTTTTCCCCTCCAAAAATTAAGGGGAAATGTGTGTGCGTCCTATGGAGCGAATGCAGGCTCCTTGGCTTCAGCGATAGCAACCAGAAGCCTCCGAAGCGCAGAGGGAGAGCTCCCTCTGCGCTCCGGAGGATTCACGTTGCTATTACTGAAGCCTGGAGAGTGAGAGGGGTCGGTGCACACCGACCCCTCTCACTCTCCAGGCTTCAGGGATAGCCGCCTGAAGCCTTTGGAGCACAGTGGGAACTCGCGCTGCGCTCCAAAAGCTTTGGGTTCCTTTTGCTGAAGCCGGGAGAGCAAGACTCTCTTGGCTTCAGCAGAGAGGGAGAGCTGCGCAGCGCCCCTTCAGCCAAGCGGGAGGCGAAATGGAAGGGGCTCCGTTTCTCCTGCTGCTTCGCTGAAGGGGCGCTGAGCAGAGAGGGAGAGATTTAATTTTTTTCTGTTCTCCCCCTCCTATGGTCCGGTGCGTCCTATAGAGCGAAAAATACGGTAATATCTCTTGACTCCTTAAAACAGTTTCCCTTTTGTAGCACTGTTAATCTGTTACTTTACTTCCAACCAAGTAGATAGGATGAAGCTAGCTACAGTTAAAGTTGATTACAATTCCAGAAACAGAGAAAACAGCAAACTGTAGCTGACTAGAATTTGAAGTGAATGCTTCTGATCTCCCAGCTGCATGGAAAAGGTGGTGGGCTCTGGAACCTAGCTCACTTCAGCTTGTTCCTGGCACTAGAAACCAAGGTGGGGAACCTTTTCGGCTCAGTGGGCCAGACCCTTATAAAATTCTATGTTTGTAGACAAAACCTGATGCAGGAGGCTGCCCACCTGTCAATCAGCTGACACCATAATGATGTCGGGTGGCAGGGTTCCAAAATCAGGACTTCAAAGTAGGAGTCTCCTTAGGGTAGTGATAAAGCGGGGTATCAAATCCCCCCCAAAAGTACTACACAGCTCTTGCAAAAAAACACCCCGTGTGATGCTTTAAATGCCCTAGGCTTTGACTATTCACCCATCTGTTGATGAACGGTGAAGACCAGACTGCTGATTACAGCTTTGATGAGGAATGGTGGGGAGCTCCCCCTCTTCCTGCTCCTGACCAGGATCCTGAAGCTGCCCAGGAATAGTGGAGCAGTATAGATTTAGATAATTGGTTTGCAGAGGGACATAGTTCGGAAAACAACAGCTGGGCAGAGCTGAATGGGGAACAGCTAGGAGAAGCAGAACAGGAAGAGAGAGAGACAGAGATAACTGATTCCTCTTCGCTGGAAAGTGTCCAGCCTCTCTCTCCAAGGGCAAGGAGAACTGATAAGGTTGCTACACAGAAGGCTCCAGTGGTTGCGAGATCATGTTGCAAGAAGGGGGAAGTGATGAAGATGACTTGGGAGGAAGGAGGAAAACTTAATTGGGAGCACCTTTACTCCCAGAATGGTTCTTTTGCTGTGATCATTAAACACTCTTAAACTGGTAAGGTAATTGCTTTGTTCTGCTGATGCATGGATAAAGGGGGGGGGAGCCATTTCTCTGAAGCCTGATACAAAGCCTGCTTTCTGCAAACATTGGAACTCACTAGTGCAGCCAGTTTAGCAGGCTTGAAGTTTGCTTTCTCTTGCCAAAGCTTGTGCACTAGCAGGTGTGTTCTCTACCTGCCTCACACCTGACATCACATATGATGGTTTGGAGAACACAGGTGGTTTGGTGAAAAACAGCCTTGTAGGCCAAATATGAACTCATGGCAGGCCAGGCCTGCAGGCTGAAGGTTCTCCACCTGCTATAAACCTTGGCTTACCATGACATTCACATACAATAAGTTTGTGTACAGAGTTACCCTATTCACCTTGATAGATGAAGCTACACGCATGACAAAAAGATCTACATACTGCAAAATCAAAACACACTGTGGCATTTGTACAAGCACATTTACAAAGAAGAAGATTTTGTCGTCACTCAACTTTCTCTACACCAGGAAAGCAGTGAGACCTACAAAGCAAAGTCTCAACATTGTTCCAGTGCCAAACACAGGAGCTCCAACCTTAGGCCAGTAAAAAAATGCTTGCACTTTAGCATAGTCTAAAACTGAGAACACTAGTTTGTCCTCAACAACTTTGCTATAATTCCACACAAAGGAAGATTCACTGTAGTACATATTTAGCAGAACCAAAAAACCACTTACTCAGAGACTCCAAGAACTCGTGGCACACTCTCATCACTCAAGCTGAGCAGTCGAATAGAAAATATACTGTGACTGGAGGAAAAGAGACACAAGTTCAATTTTTTAATCACGTCATTCTTTAATTACTTTGTATTATGCTCTATATTGTGCTTCTTTACTTTCTCCTGTGGGGCTTAACTGATGTAGTGCTTGAATAATCAATTCACATATATATTTGTTTGACATCTGTCTGGAAGTATTAATATTATTTGGAGTTTTTTATTCCTTTTATATTACAAAGTACATAGCTTTAAAAAAGTAGAAGATATAAGAGAAGGTATCTCAAAATGGGGTGGGGTGGGTTTTTTTAAAAAAGAGAGAGGGGAAGGGAAGGTATCTAACAATTAGTCATATTAAGATAATGCATATAAACTTTACTTAACTGAAATTTTGGCATACAGCACACAAGCTACATATGAACATTTAACTTTACAGGCTTGGCCAAAATGTGTTATACAAAATTTTAAAAGGGTCAGAAAAGGGATGGGCATCCAGAGGTGGAAACTTTGGCAATCCCACCCACCATTGAACCCAATGTGTTTTGACTATGCACAATTTTGGCTTCAGGCGTGATCCCCAGAACATAACCCCCATGTAAGTTGTGGGCTTACTGTTTAATAATACAGCAAGCCACCCATAGAAAAATAAGATTTCTTTCTATCAAAACGTCAAGACTCCATAATGTGCACTGGATAACGCATCTCCTATTAATGATCAATAAAATTAATTCATTTTTGCCTGAAAATGTCTCAACTTCAGTTTTGTCCTTTGAGTCTGATAAAGGAGGTCAATTTAGCCATTAAAGCAGAGTTCCAAATTTTACCATACCATTCTATAATTGATGATACACCTCTGCCTAGAATTATATTCAGATGCCAAAGCTTCATAATACTCTTAACGTGCTGTTCTTCAATGTGCACAGTTTTTAACATGCAAAAGCATTCATCAGAAAAAAGTTAGCTATGTCTAAGGTCCAAGCAGATCAATGGGACAAGTTCAGAGGTCCCATCATTTCCCCTAAAATGGGAAAAGTCCCATAATTTCCAAACTTTCCCTGAGTTGGAGGAAATATTTGGAAATTAACTTGGCATGTGGGTATATCCCATATGCTTATTTTTTTAGCTAATTACAGAGAGGTTAAGGGGCTACGGTTAAGGCAATATATTACTTTTTCTTTAAATTAGATTATGTATAAATAAAAATAAAAACCAACACGCCAAATACAAAGTAACCTTGAAAATTGGCAGCTAGATTCCAGAATAAATCTAGTGCCAGTAGAAAGGATAAAGAGCAATGGTCAAGAATACAGTGTTTTGGATATCCACACACTCTCTCCAAAACCAAAAATGGCTGGACTCTGGGTGTGGATGGCCATGTTCTAGTCTTGTTTATTTATCAGGGCTAGACAGGCCCCTTCTGCAATTAAGCAGGGCTAAGTCTCCTTCTCCAAGTCTCCTAGGAAACACTGCAACACAAACTAGTTGCAGCAGAGTGATCATTAACGAACAGATAGTTCTCAACATTAATCATTGATTTTTCCACAAGCAGAGATCCTTCTAGCCAGGAAGTCCAAGATAGCATATCCTTCTCGTAACAAGAAAGGGGTATTGCTGTCACAGTATATGAACTAATTCACCCTCATTTGCGTGCTGCTAGTGACTTGCACACATCAAGCAGGTTTTAAGGTTTTGATCTAAACAGCAGTCCCTAGTGCTGTATAAAAAACGGGAAAATCCAGGTGTCCAACTTGCCACGGGCACAGAGAGCTGCTATTTAAAGAATGCTGTCATCACCCAGCAGCATCAGCTGGTGGACAGGTGTGCTTGCTGTCGGGGAAATGGCCTTATGGGCCAAAACTGGCTTGTGAGCCCACAAATCATAGAATCAGAGTTGGAAGGGACCCTGAGGATCATCTAGTCCAACCCCCCGCAGTGCAGGAATATGCAGCTGCCCCATACGGAGATCAAACCTGCAACCTTGTCATTATCAGCACTATGCTCTCCACCCCTGGTTTAAAACCCTACATAGTTAATTGTGGTCTTAGTAATGCCATTAGCCTCAATTTTATTCTTATTATTTATTGAATTTATAGAGCGCCCTATACTAGGAGGTCTCAGGGCGGTTCGCAAAATAAAATCAAAATATAAAACCACAAAATACACAATCAAAACCAAAACAACAACCACCCAATAACCACCACCACCACCTCCTTAAGGAACAAGAACATCTAAAATGAGACCGCAAACCTTCTGCTTGATTGTTGGTTCATCCTGGTGCATGCCAAACTTCTGTTCTTATTTCCTACTTTAAGAATTTTGCAGGCCTCATCTGTACTCTTTATACTGATCCACTTTAAGTCTGGGGAAATAAGGTATTTTATACAATTTAGTATGCACAACAATCACAAAAACAGCAGTATGTAAACATTTTGGCACATTTACAGCATACAGCACTCTTCTTCTTGCTTACACAAGAAATCAGACCCACTGAATTCAAGGAGTTTTACTTATATAAACAAGTAGGTGTAAGGTTACAACCTAAGTGTGAGAACATAATGGAGATCAAGAAAGATTTGGAACAGCGGAAGCCTAAAGCAAGGGTGGCTCACCTGTGTGACCTTCCAGATGTTCTTGGACTCCAACTTCCATCAGCCCCAGCCAGGGATGATGGGAAATGTAGTCCAACAACATATGGAAGGTCACAGGATAGCCACGCCTAATGTAAAAAAGCAATAAATATTATTGTTTTTAAAATTATACTAAACTGGAATCAAACCAGAATTTGGAGGACCACAGATATAAAGTATGGATTTTTGGGTTTTTGAATAAAAACAGTAATACATAAACAAAATGGCATATTTTTAAATACATGTCTGTCTTCACGAGTTGGGGCAGCATAGAACTATTATTTTTAGATGCAAGATGAACAAGATTTTGGTGATCAATAACTGATCTCGCACCTCTTAATCTGCTTTAAAAGAAGCTGGTCGGAAATAGGGGAGGGAAGAAAATGGATGTGTGTTGGCTTTGAATTCAGAAACTCTCCCACCAGCACTACAGATGCCCCTGGGCTCTCCTTAACAGCACAAATAGCCATGTTATAAAAATGGTGGGGGAAGATTAACCATTCTCAAGCGCATGGAGCCATAACTGGCCATCTTCTGTATTAAGTGACTATAACCAAACAGCTCAGAGCAATCCATCCGTGGAACCTTTTCAAGATAAAACATAACAAAAACATGGGCGAACTTCATTACATCTTAGATTATTTACAATGGAAATCAAGGCTTACAAGTGCATTCTCTACATTTATTTGGTCTTGCAACTACTTGCTAAATTTGGCTGAGAGTGGGAAAGCTGCGCCCCCTGGTGTCAAGAGCTTCCTCATGCAGCTGAAGCTGTCCACTGTCCAAGAAATAGTACAGTGGTACCTCAGGTTACATACGCTCCAGGTTACAGACTCCGCTAACCCACAAATAGTACCTCGGGTTAAGAACTTTGCTTCAGGATGTGAACAGAAATCGTGCTCCGGCGGTGCAGCAGCAGGCCCCATTAGCTAAAGTGGTGCTTCAGGTTAAGAACAGTTTCGGGTTAAGAACGGACCTCCAGAACGAATTAAGTACTTAACCCGAGGTACCACTGTATTTGGCTAGATCAGTGGTTTTCTTTTTTTTTTTAAAGATATTTATTGAAATTTTGAACAGTAAAACAAACTTCACAATCAAAACAAAAAAGAAAAAACATTATCACAATCAAATAAAAACAGAAAAATACAATAGAAAACATAAAAAGGTAGAAGAAAAAAAACATAAGAAAAGCATAAAAATCCAATTTCTTACTTGTTTTCATAACCCTCCTTCCTGACTTCCTCACATCTCCCTTTTCTGTGTTCCCTTTTACACAATCGTATTCAGCAGTGCCTTACCCTCTTTCAAATCTTATTCTATATTATACATTTCAACTGTTATGTCTCCAATTTTTCCCTTTATATCATTTTGTTTAAATTTGACATAATGTTATTCTAGCTTTTTCACTCTAGATCAGTGGTTTTCAACCAGCGTGCCATGAATGATAGTCAGGGGTGCCACGGGCAATGCTGGCCTCTGTCCCTCTTTCCTTACCTGCCTCCTCTGACACCCTCTTGCATCTCTGCCTCTCAAAGGCTTGCACAGCTGTTTATTGCATCAGCCCTGGCTGTAGGCTCTGCAGGCGAATGGCGAATGCAGCCACCTCTCTTTGGAGCAACGGAAGAGGGGCAGCTCAGAGACCAGCGATGGCAGCAGCTGCTGCCCAGAGGACTCCCAAGGAGGAGAGGAGAGGAGGCTGAGGGAACACTCCACAAGGGAGGGTGTTTGAAGAGGGTGAGAGGCTGCCAGCTCTGCAGGCAAGCGGTGGCATAACTGGGCTCCTGATCCCCACAGGGGTGCCACAGAAAGAAATGTAGTTGGTTAAGGGATCCGTGGATTCAAAAAAGGTTGAAAACCTCTGGGCTAGATGGATTCTTGAGATAATTAGACCCAAAGAGTAATTATTCCTTTGAAGCAGTGCCACCAAAGTTGCTGCATTACCTTTTACGTAAGAGTTTCCTCCCTGATCTTCGCATATCCTTAAAACTTTGCGCTTCTGATTCTTCGATGCAGGCACTACATCCAGTAGGTCATAGATGTACTCATTGTAGATTTCAAAGAAAGAAACCCAAACAGATGCTAGGGTCTTGGGGCACTTGGTATAAACCTCAGAATCTAAACATTCAAGGATGGTGAATAAAGGGAGTAACTGTAATGCCTGTTGTTTATTGTAAGGTTAAATTTATTTAACTGTCCTTTGCCCTAAGGTCGTGTTCCAACATTAAAACACAGTATCAGAAACAGTTTAAGACAACTTACAGCAGCAGAACTTACAGCTATTTTTGTTCTCATTTATGGATACTTCCTCCCAGGACAGATATTGCACCATTTTTGTTTAAGCATTTGGTGCAAGGTACATACTTTTGCATTACTACACATTATTGCACTAAAATCATTGGATGAGGTGCTCCTGGTTGCATTGTGCTTCCTGGTGATTCACTTAGTGGTCTTTTCAACAGCAATGCCCTTCCTGTGGTCCCACCTCCCTCTCTGACGACTTTGGCACATGCTGGAAACACATTTATTCCTGGAGGCCTTTGCTAAACATCAGTACCAGCTGGGTTCTTTTAAATGCCTGCTCTGAATTTAATCATTTTATTTTGTGATATTACATATGAAAGTCAATATACAAATATTTTAATAAATAAACATAGGGATATTCTTTCTCCAATATCCTACAAAAATCAATCCTGATTTAATACGATTAGTAAGCAATGCTATAGCGACCATTTTACACAATTCTATATGCATTTTTAACCACAAATATTCACCCATTACCTGATTCATTCAAAACAAAACTTGGTGAGCTACAGCTACTAGAAGTTGAGCCTGATGCACTTGAAGATGTGATAGACTTTGAAGTATTTTCAGTATCCTTGGTGAAATACAAAAATGTCAAGGTTATGTTGCTGCCTCTGTATTCACATCTTTTAATTTCTACAGGAGGCAAGCTATCCACCAATTAAGTTTTTTAAAAACAAAGCAACTGGTAGAGTTTCTAATTAAATCAATTTTGAATGGGATATTCACAACAATTCAAGGTAAGTGCATTTTTTGAGATTATGGTTAATAATAATAATTAAATCTGTATACCACCCTTCACCCAAATATCCCGAGAGGTTCACAACAGGAAAATACAAAATGAGAATACAAAATATATAATAAAACAAAAACAAACCAATAACCTCCCTCCCACAAACACATTTTTAAAACTATAGAATGTTAAACAGCCAAATGCCTGGTTGAAGAGAAACACTTTCATCACCAAGAAGAATTCAAGATGAAACTCAGACTTTGGTTGAGACTGAAAAAGACAGGTAAGAAAGGGAAAGTATGTTGTGGCCCTCCAGATGTTGCTTGAACTACAACTTCCATTATTCCTGACTATGCTGACTTGGCTGATGGGTACAGGTGTCCCGGAACATCTGGAGGGCCACAGATTCCCCACCCCTGACCTAAGGGATTGAGAAGAAATCCATTTATCTTATTTCTTCCTTCCTTCTGTAGACCTTCATGCCAAACAGCAAAATGCTTTGAGAAGTTCCCTTGAAAGCTCTGCTGCATTATCATAATAGCTAAAGATTCCTCCTGAAGTGAACAGCATGATTCAGCAATCAGAAACACCGCACCTTGGAAATGCATAAGACTAGGAGAATAAAGCCAACTTGTTGCACACAACATGCACAGCAGTGGCATGAGTGCATAAATGCACAAGAAGCTAAAAACACTAGTCGTGCATGTTTCCTGCTTTCGGAAGTGGTCTCAAATGAAGAAAAGAAAAATCAGAGTATTTATTTATAAATTACTTTCTTTCCAACCTTTCAGAAGCATCTTACAGAACAATCACTTTAAAACAAGCATGCAAGCCTTCTCTGTGGATGCTTTTGGTGTGGAGGGAGGGGGTGATTAAAAACACCAATCCTCTTGTCTAACTGGGAATAGCCCCTCACTCACACAGTACAGGATATTCCACCATTCTTCATCAGAGTTTCTTTTCTTTCAGTATAGTAAGCGGCTCATGTATACGTCAAACAAAGTTTTAATAATAAAGAAAATTGTAACAGAATAGCATACTGTCTGAGAGAAATTAAAACAACACCCTGAGGCAAGAATGACAGTTGGTTTCTCTAACTCAGTGATGGCCAAACTTGGCCCTCCATCTAACTGAACTGAACTGAACCCCCGAAGGGATGGGCCAATTCCAGAGCACAACACTTAAGGCCCTCCCACCAGATGACAGACATTCTACTAATCAAATTAGGCCCCAGTGCCTTTCCTACAGTTATGAGAAGCAAGGCCACCACCTCATTTGCATTTGGAAGCTTGAGAACCTGCTCTCCATCAGCATAATGTGACAATGCTGGAGCCAACAGCTCCCATAAAGCCCCATAACCAGTGGTGCCAACCTCCTTTCCAAAACATTTTAATCTCACCCACATTTTTCAAAGATGTCCCAGTGTTTCAAAGAGAAGTGCAAGGTTAGGTGGCTATCTCAGGATCCAGAAGAATTCTGGGGAAAATAAGATGGCTATAAACCAGTGCCCACCTTTGCCACTGTTTTCTGCGGTGTTTCCACCCCACATAATCTAACCCAAAGAACTACAGCAGTGCTATAGTCCAGAACCCCCTTAAACCAAGCCCCTTGAGAGGCTTATATGAATTTGTTGTTGGGGTTTCCAAGGAATGAGTAGTTCTACATGGTGTGAATTTTAAGACATGGTAAACACCAAAGCAGGATCTGGAAGGGTGCTTGCCACTAACCTCTTTCAGAGAAGCAAGAAGGGCAGCTTTGATGGATTCTTCTTGCTTAACCTGCGTATCATTTAGCCTCTTGGTAAGATTGCTGAAGCATGGTTTTATGTTCATCTTTGGATACTGTCTTCCCCTTACATGGTTAAATATGAGATCAAGAGAGCGGGGAAGGATACCACCGTCTTTCGAGCAGCCTGCAGAAACAATGAGCCTCTTTTCAATACATGCCATTGTAAGATCTTTTGTATTTGACCCCATGAAGAATAATTGGATACCTTGAACTGTGAAACTTTTGCCTGCGTTAGTCACACCATAGGTAAACACAAGTCCATTCACTCCGTTGATACAAGTTTTTACTATGTCGTTCATTGTGCCTTCAAAAAATTCACTTTGAGAAGTCTCTGGTCCAAACACCTAAGTAGAGAATAGGAAAAAGTTTTACAGGGACAGTGAGGAGCAAACTGTACACATGAGGTGTGAGTGGGATCTCTGACTAACTGAAGTGTTAATAGCAGCATCTATAGGGGCCTACTTCAAGCTGGGACCATGGAGCTTAACGTTTTCTCACCACCAGTCCTTCCCTCTCCTACAGAGTTGCCATTTGCCTCATGAAGTCAAATGATACCTATATGGTTTTCCCCATGAGGCAAATAGCAACTTTGGGGAAAGGGTGATTAGAATGGGGAATGACTTGGAGGGGAAGGGTTAACCCCCAAACCCAAGTGTAATTATTCTGATCCAAATTAGAACTTGCAAAGTATTATTGATATTTTATTAGAAGAATTTCATTTATTGAAAAGTGGTGAGAAGGGGGGGGGGAGTGAAAATTCAAATTAAAGAAAAATACTCCATTACGCCTCCACAAATATACAAATGTGTATAGTCTTATTATCCTAACACAAATTTATTTAACAACAACCTCATATATTCTGTATAAAGTTGTTACAAATATCATTATATTTATCCAAAGAAAGTCTGTGTCCATAGGCAGTCTGCTCATATGCTGCTAATATTGTCATGTTTGTCAAGCCACTGTTTAAGGGGAATCATATTTCTATTCTTCCAGTTCAACAGTATTGGTCTCTTAGCCACCATTAGGGCATGTAGAATCCATTTTCACTGTCCCACTGTCACTTTCCATACAATTGGTATAAAGATCAAAAGAATAATCACCTCTAAGAACTTTACTATACAGTACAGGAAAGCAGCATGCAATTAATGTAATGGTGCACTTTAAGACTGAAGTCCTGTGCATCTGTTTGGGAGTCAGCTATATTTTGCTCTGAGTTCTCACTACTTACAGAAACAGGAACAGCCTGCACCAAGTGTTCTAATACAGTCTGCTTTATGCACATTTATTTATTTATTTTCACCGAAATTGGCCCTGGAGGAGAACTCACCTGAGTAAAAGTGAACTGATGCGCCGATTGTCCAATTCCCTTTTCACTGTTCTTCATAGCAGTAGAGTATTTAGGTGCGTGAAGAGTCACTGTTTCTTGATTTTCAATAATCAAACAGTCCTTAAGAGCACACAAGTTATTTTAACCAGTTTCCTAAAACTTTCTTTGCCTACTAAATTGCATGCTACAAACCGGTTTTACACTTACTGACGTGGTTTCGTTTGTGACCTTTTGGTGCATGCGATTCTGCTGCTGTGTAAACACTGTACCTTTCAAGTGTATTCAAAGCAGGTGACTTCTCCCAAAGAATCCTGGGACCTGGGACCTGTAGCTCACCGCTTACAGAGCTACAATTCTCAGCACCAGGACCAGCCCAAGAAAAACTTGGCACCAAAATGGTGTCCCCCTCCTCACCAGATTAGAAGGGGCGAGGGAAAATCTACATCAAGAACAAGGAGATCTGTTACCCCATGCAGCCTGAAGCTGCCGCTACAACTTGCCTCCTGGGTGGGCAGGCCCTGCTCAGCACCCTTAAACTATAGTTCCCAGGATTATTTAGGGACAGTCATGTGCTTTAAATGTGTGGTATGCATGCAGCTTCAGAGTGCAAGCTGCACTTTGACGTAGTGTAGTTAAATGCAAAGTTTCAAACATTACTGTTTGGTCAGGGGTATGGTGTTCCCTAGATGGTATTGGGCTATAGCTCCTATCATCACTGACTATGCTGGTTGGGGCTGATGGGAGTGGGACTCCCAACAAAATCAGAAGGTTACCGCATTGCCTACCCATGCTCTGGTGCAAGAGAGCCAGTTTTCTAACAATCTCATTGGAGCATTTCAGTGGTACAGTTATCTAAGCTTCATCATCTAAAAACCTAGACTGCTACATATGTCATGCTTATCCAGCTGTTTTAGTGTCCAAATCTTGTGAAGGGTGACTCACAGCAAGTATAAGCAAACTAACTATGTGCATACTAAGGCAATGTAATCTCATTGTAATGATGGAGTTTGGAGAAGGGTAAGTAAGGACCACCAAACAGCATATTACAGACAAAAAACAGGTAAAAGATTTCTATTTCCCAAACTGTTTTTGAATGCAATTCCCCACAAAAGATTTTAAAAAAATGATGCCATATTTCACAACTAACCTGGTTTTCATTGTTTTCAAGCTCTGCCTTAGAAAAGGGCCGCACTCTCAAGTATACTTTCAGTGGCTGATACATCACCTTAAAAAAAAGAATAATAAATTAAGGCTGAAATTGTGAAAATATTGAAAATAGTTCTTCAATATCCTGTCATTTGTCTTCATGCTTTGCCGAAGCTTTGACTTCTGCTCAAAAAGATTACTTCTCCACCTTAAAACTTTCCTTCTCTTTAACACGCAGATAGTCTCCACCCCTCCCGCCCCTGAGAATACAATTATAGAACTGCATTTTTAACCAAGAGTGGCACAGTGAGGGTATTATATGTCCTGCAAATCCTATCTGAACTCAGTGAAAACGCCAATAAAATGCACATATCCAACACCCGATTGCTTCCCCTACTTAGTTCACTGCAAAGTTAAAACTGAGTGGAAGTTTTATATTTCAAAAGCTGTAAAGTTTTAATAGCTGCATCTTCATTTTATAAATTTCTAGCATTTAATATAGTACATTTTAAATAAAACTACCCCCGTCAGCTTGTCCATGTTGGTATTGATAAGTCAATGGCTATGCCGAAGTCTATTGCAGATTGGTTTTTAGTCTTTGAAATATATGTCTAAAGGAACAGAGTTTTCATTCTAAGCATTTGCTATGCACAACCAATAGAAAACTACACAAATGCTTATGAAATTAATAGCAAGCAGCCCACCTCCTCTTCCTGCTCATCTCTGGTGTTGGATACTTCTGACGAGTCCATAGACATCAATTCTGCCATACTCTCAGCAGTGGATGTTATTCTTTGTCTTTCCTGACAATTCATTCTTTTGCTGTATAAGATGGGGGAAAGAAATAGCAGGTCTGTACACTATCCAACTTTTAAACAAGACACAAGTGTATATATACGTATTTTATGGACAATAGATCACTTCCTGGTGAAGTTAACGGGTTGTATCTACAGCACCTAAGTTCTACTTTGGCTGCACTGAAATCAGCACGAGAAGTTAGGTGTAACTAAGGGATGTCCCTTGGTGCTGGAGGAGACTCTTGAGAGTCCCATGGACTGCAAGTAGATCAAACCTCTCCATTCTTAAGGAAATCAGCCCTGAGTGCTCACTGGAAGGACAGATCCTGAAGCTGAGACTCCAATGCTTTGGCCACCTCATGAGAAGAGAATACTCCCTGGAAAAGACCCTGATGTTGGGAAAGATGGAGGGCACAAGGAGAAGGGGACGACAGAGGACGAGATGGTTGGACAGTGTTCTCGAAGCTACAAAGATGAGTCTGACCAAACTGCGGGAGGCAGTGGAAGACACGACTAAACAACTAAACAACAAAAAGGGATGTCCCATTGATATAAATAACTAATTCACTCTGGATCCAACCCAATGTTACAATTCTCGATGTTTGCTATCTGAAGGAAATCCACCCACATGGATTTTAACCAAAAAGTAATAGTAGGTGACAAGGAATTTAGTTCTCAGAGCCTTTCCAAACAAGAAAAAAACACAGCCAGCACAAGGCACTAAAGGAAGATCACTACAGTAGTACCTCGGGTTAAGAACTTAATTCATTCTGGAGGTCCATTCTTAACCTGAAACTGTGCTTAACCTGAGGTACCACTTTAGCTAATGGGGCCATCCGCTGCTGCCGCATGATTTCTGTTCTCATCCTGAGGTAACGTTCTTAACCCGAGATACTATTTCTGGGTTAGCGGAGTCTGTAATCTGAAGCATCTGTAACCCAAGGTACCACTGTATTAGCAATGACTGCTCCTTCCCCACTCATTTGTCAAGGTTTAAAAAATGAGTACAGGTATATGGCAGATCTGGAATTCAAGTCCAGTTTCCTGGTTCTACCTTCCGAACTCAACATTTGCTATCGTTCAAGAAATTAAGGGTTTTCTTGTTGGTTTTGTTTTTGCTCACCAGAACACGAACAGGCTATAAGTGGCCATGTTCACAAAGCACATCGGCAGCAACCAAGTCTCAATAGGCTCACTATTAAGCCAGGCAGCACTGGAACATAGGGAAGGGCCTTTTAGTGGGTCAGATTATTGGTCTACCTAGCTCAGCAGTGTCTACACACTGACTGACATCAGCTCTCCAATCGGTCTCAAAACAGATGCTCCGATCCTGAGCTACAGTCTTCCCCCAGCCTCTGATGCTGAGCAAGAATCTCTTAATTTTACAGATCCAGAATGACTAAAGACATATCATCGAAGCCTACAAAATGAGTACATGATGTCAGAAAATGAATCTGGACCCACCATCAATGTCTATTCAGCATGTAGAAGAGTAGTTCAGTGCATGCACAGAGTTCATGGCACCTGTACTAACAAACCTATTCTTTTCTCAAGCAGGAAGATAAAGGCATGGTAAACAGCACTCCTGAGCTGGCAAAAAACTGTATTTCAATTGCCTCCCATAAAAAACACAAATTCCCAGAATGTGAGATAAAAAGAATTAGCTCTTGGTTCTGAAAACTTACATAATTACTAACTAAACTTGCATATGCACAACACTTTACACCTATCAATACATTACTTCAAAAAGAAAATGTCTTTGTTTCATTATTGCCTCCTCTCTTCACTCATATACCTAGTTTTACTTGCAGCTTGATCCTGAAAGGAGAGCTTAGGCCTATTGATTCCAATGTTCTTAGGTTTATCTAACATTGAATAGGGTCAAGCTAAATTGCTGCAATCTTCTGCACACTTACTTGGGAGAAAGCTCCATTGAACAAAACAAACTTACTTCTAAAAGAAGAGCATGCATGGAATTAGGCTGTTAGACCCTTCCTATACCTGCATTCAGACTTTTCCTTATTCTTAGTCTTTATACACATACTTGTTTTTCTTTACTAAATAACTTTTTTCTATCATGAACTTTACATTTTCATCATACATACCTGTTTTAATACTCCTACAAACACCGCTAGCTTCTTATGTCTTTGCTAACACAGACAAATTGTGCTTTCTACTACTGCTTCAGTCAGACCTACTATGCCCTTCCCCCAAGTTTTATAGAGAGGCTGTTGACCAATGAGGAACAGACAAACAAACTGCTACACAGGCCCCTCAATTAACTCATATTTCCATTTTCCAAATGACTCAAGAGCAACAGGTGGACACACCAGAGATCTGTAGCACACCTGAGAGCAGAGAATTTTTTTGGGTTTGGGTTTTAAATGGAACAAAACTGCATTGGAGGCAGGCAGAGTGACTCACCTCTCCATTGAAAACAATAACAAACACAGGGTTGTAATCCTGTGGATACTCACTTGGTTGGGAGTAAAGCCCCATTAAACTCAGAGGCACTTGCTTCTGAATAAACACTAATAGGATTGGGCTGCACAACTGCTATATCATTCACTCTTAACTGGAAGCAACTCCCATTGAGTAAAGCAGTACTTACTTCTGAGAATCCAAATGTGAGCATGGCAATAACAGGAACACATGGAATGGGACAAGTCCACAACCCTGAGAAGTCCTATGCCTAGGAAGGAGCAAAAATGAGTCTGTGTTGGCTTGAAACCAAACAGCTGCATAAGATAAGCCATTAAGGCAGGGATGGGGAACCTGTGGTTCTTCAGATGTTACTGAACTACAACTCCCATCACCCCAGAGACTACAGCCATATTGGCTGGGGTTGGTGGGAATCCAAGAGCATTTGGTGGGTCGCAAGTTCTACATCCCTGCCTTAAGTCTTGCCACACACAGAGAGAAGCTCTCAGATTTGAGCAAACAGGATTTCATAAAGCAGGAGGGTTGGAGAAACACTAGATAGAATAAAATAAAGATGAGCTCTGGCCCGCAGAGCAGGGGTAAAGGTAAAGGTAAAGGGACCCCTGACCATTAGGTCCAGTCGTGACTGACTCTGGGGTTGCAGCGCTCATCTCGCTTTATTGGCTGAGGGAGCCGGCGTACAGCTTCTGGGTCATGTGGCCAGCATGACTAAGCCGCTTCTGGCGAACCAGAGCAGCGCACGGAAATGCCTTTTACCTTCCCGCCGGAGCAGTACCTATTTATCTACTTGCACTTTGACGTGCTTTCAAACTGCTAGGTTGGCAGGAGCTGAGACCGAGCAACGGGAGCTCACCCCATTGCGGGGATTCGAACTGCTGACCTTCTGATCGGCAAGTCCTAGGCTCTGTGGTTTAACCCACAGCACCACCCGCGTCCCACCAGAGCAGGGGTAGCCTCCATATTTTCCCATCAGCCCCAGCCAGCATGGCCAATGGTCAGGGATGATGGGAGTTGTACTCCAACAGTATCTGGAGAGCACCAGCTACTTCTGTCATAGAGGAACCAACGAACAAGCTCTGCTGTCTGCTGCTCACCTCTGTTCAGATGAACAGTGTTGGGAGGGCAGACTGTATAATAATATAAAAGGAAATGTGGTGTACACATCCAGGATGGTGGAGGCTGGCTTGAAGGGTGAGGCAGCAGCAAATAAAGCAGCTTTGCCACTCCTCCTGCCCTCACCAGATCTAAGGAATCCAGCTCAGCATTTCCACTTATGCCCACTTTACTGACTTTCCAAAGGCATTTCAGAACACCTCTAGCTGTCTGTGCAAACCTATGCCAGCCTCACATGAAGAGAGAAACACTCTCCCTGATTCACTCAGGACTTGGCGTGACACACACATGTGAAGCATGAAGACTCCGGTGTAGTCTGTGGCAGGCAGCATGCTTGCTCTCAACAACCTTTCTCAGTTTGTTTTGTAACTTGAGAACATCTTTAATAAAAACTAATAAAAAATAAAAACAACCTTTCTCAAATCTCCGTTGGCAGATGGTGGGGTTCAGGACAGGGGAACCATAGTGAGTCATTGAAGAATGGAACTGTATTTATTATTTTATTATTTTATTTTTAAAAAAATTATATACCACTTGACTGGGGGGGACGACCCTCAAAGCAGTTTACATGCTACCCTGCACCCTCTAAGCTAGCCAGTGGTCACCATCATGTCAGTCATGAATTAAGGTTCAGCTGTATGTGGAACGGAGGAGACACCTTTTTGACCTTTGACTCAGGAAGGAAAATGTCCTGGGCTGTCCATACCAGACTACAGTTCAAGAATGCAGTGGTGAAATTCTGTTTCCTCTCCATCCTCACTGCCAGACAGTAAGCTTGATAATGGTTGTATTCAGTTTTCTGGCACGTGTGTTTGAGCCAGGAGTCGGCAACCTTATTAGGCCTATTGGATTTTTGATCAAGTGATGGGGCTGCCGCCCACTCGGGTCTAGATGTTATTGGACTCCAGTTCCCATCAGCTGTGTCTGCTAGAATCTTATTACTACTATATTTACAAAATATCTCAAGATCAGGTATAGTCAATGTGCCCTTCAGATGCTATAGGTCTGCCATCACCTAAGCCCCAACTAGCATTTCCAATAGTAAGCAATAAGGGTAGTTGCAGTCCAGCAACATCTGGAAGGCCACAGATTTTTTGCCCATTTAAAGTTATGCAGGGCACTCCCATATGCCAAGCAGATTATATCCACACAGGAACCTCAACAACCTTGAACAGGCATTAGAAGCACACATCCCCATTTACTACTGGGAAACTTTTGTCCTGGCCTTCAATATTGCCTCTCAGGGCTTCAATCTGTACCCCACCCACCCACTCTTTGAATAGAAAGTACGGTAATAGTGAAACAGGTCTTTGTACTTCAAATAAAAGGTAAAGGTAAAGGTACCCCTGCCCGTACGGGCCAGTCTTGACAGATTCTAGGGTTGTGCGCCCATCTCACTCTATAGGCCGGGGGCCAGCGCTGTCCGCAGACACTTCCGGGTCACGTGGCCAGCGTGACAAGCTGCATCTGGCGAGCCAGCGCAGCACACAGAACGCCGTTTACCTTCCCGCTAGTAAGCGGTCCCTATTTATCTACTTGCACCCGGGGGTGCTTTCGAACTGCTAGGTTAGCAGGCGCTGGGACCGAGCAACGGGAGCGCACCCCGTCGCGGGGATTCAAACCGCCGACCTTTCGATCGGCAAGCCCTAGGCGCTGAGGCTTTTACCCACAGCGCCACCCGCATCCCTTCGAATACAAATTGTACTTCAAATACTCACTGGGAATCAGAATAGAATCATAGAATTGAGGATTATCTAGTTCAACGCCTGCAATGCAGGAATATGCAGCTTTCCCTTACGGGGGTTTGGCATTACCACCATGCTCTTAACAAACTGAGCTATCCGGCTGCCTAGATATAGAACTATGAGTTACAGTTTTCATCAGTTTGACTTGCAGAGGGCAGGTGATACAGATAATCTTGACATTACTATTTCCCTATCAACCATGAACTATAGGGATTTCAAAGTTCATCTTGGTTCAAAGCTGCATCCCTTTGTTGGAAACCAATGAATGTGTATCTACAGAAAGCATAATCCATGCTGAAAAGCCCTATCTCAATGTTTTAAAATTGAGGAACCAGACGCCTGCAGAGATGCAACAGATCAGAAAGCAGACGTCTGAGGAATGGCATGGCAGAGAGAACTCAATTGTGCAATGCTGCGAACACTTTAGGATTCAGCTCTCACCATTAGCTGTAGACTAACTTCCAACAAGCTTTCCTGGAAAAAACAATTCCCCATCCATAATACTTAACCCATCTACATGCATCAAGTCTTGACCTGTCCAGGAGCTGCAGGACCATTCATCAGAGTGCTTAATGTATACACACAGATGCCCAAGTTTTAAAAGAACCACAAAGGATGCTTTTCAGTAACTTCCACCAGGAAACTATCTTGATAACTTTTTTCAGAAGTGCTTAATGCTACATTTTGTGTTTCCAATGGTGCATAACTTCTTACAAATAAGCAAGAGTAAAATATATATTCCAATGTGGAGGGAAACCCTAAAGGATCACCTTTAAATAAACAAGTTATACTTCGGGATAGCAAAATAGCCTTTTGAACTTTTATCCACAAACTAGGTACATGTTTTGCATCTTAAGTGCAGGCTAACCAAGGTATGTATTCAGTGTGGATTACTGGAGGTTAAAAATCACCCTAATTGTAGCTAGCTGACTTACCTGGATTTGAGTCTTTCATTGCTGCTATCTGAAGTGTTCTTGTATAAAATAAAAAAACTTCTTTAGAACTTCTCTTGTTGGATAAAATACACAAATGCTACTTCTAAACTGAATGCACACCCTTGCATTGGTGTTTCACCTTATACTTACAAATACACACAAAAATACTGTGCTTTTACAATTGCAGCTGTTCTCCAGCAGAGGGCATTAGCAAATGCCTTCTCCCTCCCTCATTCTCAATCAAACGTTAAGTTAAATGTAGCCCTCTAATTTTCAGCCTCCTACATAGCCATGATTTATCGTAACTCCTTACAAGCAGTGGTCCAGGCCTAAAATTCCATTTAGCATTCTTGTATATTTTGAATAAAAAGACTTCAGTGACTTTTTACGTCCAATGTGCTATGTCAAACTGTGGACACTGTGTATTGAAGGATGTTTAATTTCATGTTAATGATTTCCACTTCCTTGTCACATGTAATGAAGTCCGATAAACAAACACTAGGATTTGGGAAAGATGGAGGGCACAAGGAGAAGGGGACGGCAGAGGACGAGATGGTTGGACAGTGTTCTCGAAGGTCAAACCTGAGTTTGACCAAACTGCAGGAGGCAGTGGAAGACAGGAGTGCCTGGCGTGCTCTGGTCCATGGGGTCACAAAGAGTCGGACACGACAAAACAACAACAGATTTGGCTCCTGGAGGCAAGAATGCAACTCCCAAACTAGCCAGATACACCAACAAACTTCTTGTGATACAAGACTTTGATTCAAGTGCTACATAGTTAACGCTGACTATATACATGATCAACAGGAGGAACCTAGCACATAATTACATACTAAAAACAAGAACAAACCAATAACCCCCTCCCTTAACCCCACCTAGTCTACTCACACTGGTATGCTTCATTTGTTGAATGAGTTCTAAAAATCAGTTTAAACAGAGATCTCTTACCTACCTGATAATTACATACTTTGTAGGCTTTTTAATTGTGGACAAGTAGAGGCTTTTGATACTAATCATAATTAAAGCAGGAACACTGCCATAAAGCACACAACAAAAAGTAAAAGTTGATATTAACTTTTATTGAAGCAGATGACAATCATTTAGGCATCAGCAATGGTAACCTCAACTTCTACTCCAGGCTCAATACTGATAGAAGTTATCTGCTTGACAATCTCTGAAGGACTGTGCAAGTCAATGAGACGCTTGTGAATGCGCATCTGGAAACGATCCCAGGTCTTGGAACCTTCACCACATGGCGTTTTCCTTGTGGTGATTCGCAGAGTCTAAAATGTGAGTAAAATGTTTATTTTATATATTTAGCAAGATTAATAAAAAAATGAGGTATTTACATAAAATATTCATTCAAAATAGAGATAAACAGACATTAAAACATTAGGTGTAATAAAATTATCAAAATATACATAAAACCAAGTTATAAAAACAAATATACATACTAAAGGCCTGCCTTTGAGAAAAATGGGGTGGGGTGGGGTTGCAAGCATAAAAAACAATACAACCAAGTACCTTCCCTAATATCAATAGACAAGGCATTTCAGAAATTAGTTGCTGTCACACCAAAATATTCCTTGAACTCAAGGAATGAACATGATGTGACACTTGCTTAATGCTATGTTAGATGTCTATAGAGCTTTGCAGAAACTTGCATCCCTGGGGAAATCAAGGAGATAACAGAGCAGTTGATCGACATTACCTCAGCAAATAGCCTCATTATGAAGGACTGAAGAGTTTACAAGCATCATATTGCTATGTTGACTTACCAGTAACTACAGACTCATTTATACCACACTACCG